GCCTGCTCTTTCTGAAGAACACGTTACTGCATTTGACTGTGTGAGTTTCCTGTTTAATCTGAGCACTGAAACCAAGCATGCAGCTGTTGTGTGTGGATATTCCAGCTCTCTTTCCCCTTAGTTTGCTCTGATTTAGTAGTGAAGTGATACCAGCCAGAGGAGGCTGGTGTCACACACTTAGGGTGTGCAAGTATCAGTGACACGGGACAAAAACATGGGGATGCTATACCACATCTGGCTGAAGGGCGGAACTCGAAAGGGTTGTAGTGAATGGGGCTGTGTCTGGCTGGTGACTGGTCACCAGTGGTGTTCCTCAGGCCTCAGTCCTAGGGCCAGTGCTGTTCAATACTTCATCAATGATCTGGATGCAGGAGTTTAGTGCACTATTAGCAATTCTTCTGACTACAATCTCTGAGGGTGGTGAGACACAGGCACAGGTTGCCCAGGACTGTGGCTGCCCCATCCCTCCCAGTGTTGAAGGCTAGGTTGAACAGGGCTTGGAGCAACCTGGTCTAATGGTAGGGGGTTGGAACTAGGTGATCTTTGGTCCATTCCAACCCAAACCATTCTGTGATTCTACGCTGGGAGTGCTGTTGAGTCACTGGAGGGACAAGAGACCTTGCAGAAGGATCGAGGCAGACTGGAGCATCGGGTCTACCTGATCTACCTGATCACAATGGCTGTGAAATCTAACATGCCCAAGTGCCAGATTCCACACCTGGGATAGAGTAGCACCAGGCACAAGCATAAACTGGGAGAGAAGTGGTTGGGGAGCAGTCCTGCAGGGAAGGATCTGGGGTGCTGGGTGGCAGTAGGCTCACAGGAGCCAGCAGTGTGTGTCCTGGCAGCACAGAGGACAAACTGCATCCTGGGGTGCATAAAACACAGCAAAACTAGAAGGCCAAAAGAGGTGATTGTTCCACTGTGCTTGATGTGGCCTCACCTCAAGTACTGCGAGCAGTTCTGGGCCCCACTATTCAAGGAGGATGTGAAGGTACTTGAACGTGTCCAGAGGAGGGCAACAAAGCTGGTGGCAGGGCTGAAAGCCACATCCTGGGAGGAGCAGCTGAGGACTCTGGGTTTGTCTCCTTTGGAGGAAAGGAGGCTGAGGAAGCAACCTCATTGCTCTCTACAGCTTCCTGAGAAGGGGACCTGGAGAGGGATCTGCTAATCTCTTCTCCCTGGGATCCAGTGATAGGATACATGGGCATGACTCAAAGCTGTGCCAGGGGGGGTTTAGACCGGGCATTAGGAAACATTTCTTCACTGAGGGGGTGGTCAAACACTGCAACAGGCTTCCTGGAGAGGTGGTTGATGCCCCAAGCCTGTCAGTGTTTTAAGAGGCAGTTGGGCAATGTGCTTAACAACATGCTTTAAATTTCAGTCAGCCCTGAAGCAGAGAGGTCATCAGTTGGACTAGACAATCATTGTAGGCCTTTTCCGACTATTTCCTTCTGTTTTATTCTGTGATGGGGTTTTTTGCTGGCTTTTATTTTTCCTCTACAGTCTGTCTCTGTTTTTGAGATGACAGGAGTGATTTTCATTTACAGCTTGGTGTACAAAACCACATGGTCACCCTGTCAGAGGACAGGCCAAGCCTTCTGCTAGTGTGTCATCTTTGGGTCTAATCAGTGTTTACTAGTCACATCTGTATTTACCAGTCCATGTCACTCTGAACCCAGACTGTTGTATCCAAATGAAGCAGATGGTTGGAAAAGCCCAGGGATTTACCAAAGGTAAATTGGGTTGACAACCCAACCACCTTCTACAATAAAATAATATTTTCTTTCCACATGGGGAGAGCAGTGGAGGGTGTTTGCCTGGATGTCAGTACACTGTCAGTCCTGTCACCACTGTCTCCCACCGCTTTCTTCTGGACAAGCTGGCATGACGCACACCAGAGGGGTATCTGCAGGATGTACAGGAAACCAGCTCACAGGCTGTGCTCAGAGGGTGGTAATCTGGTTTCTACTCGGGTCTACTGGTTTGGGAGGCCTCACTGGGCTCCGTGAGTCTAGGAAGGATGGTTGTCTTACCCAGTAACTGCCTTGTCCATTAGCTGCTTTTCAGTGTTTTCTGCTCTTCCTCAGTGCTGTGAAATAGATGTTCCACCCAGAGCCTTTTTCTTGGAAGAAGATAATCCTGGAGAGTGTTTTTTTTAATTCTGTTTCTAACCAGAACATCATCTCTACAAGGCTGCAAGCATTTAAATTGCATTAAGGATGGTGGGCTCACACTCAGCACTGTGTTACAGCACCCTTCACAATGTAATTCTAAGGTCACAACTCTTTCAACTTGACTGCATTGATGCTTCTAACAGCAATACCTCCATCTGTTACTTGACCTGCAGTGGCAATATCTAGGCCTGCCTTCTGGGCTCTTCCCTTCAGTTTTCCCTCTTTCACTCCACTGTCTGCACTTCCACCTCTCCCTTCATTCCTCAGTACCACTCAGAGAGGAGCTGATCGTTTTCCCCAGGGGTTAAGCAGGCTGAATGATGGTGTCACTAGAGGACAGAGTGTGAAACGCAGTCAGCCTGTGCTGCTGTTGTGCATCAGGTGGTGCAAAACTACGGAAAAAGTCCAGAGAAGAAATGTACAGGATTTGCTTTCTGCCAGGTTAAGCTGATGCAGCTCGTTCTTTCTAGATCAGGCTGTTTATATCTCTGCCTTTTTCCTATGCCATTCTTTCTGTCCCCTGCCTCCCCGCTCAAACCACCGACCATAATTGTTTCAAATACACGTGAACTGTTCTTTTGGGGAAGCAGAACTTTCCATACTGCTTTTTTTCAGCTACATATGGAGAGAGCGCTGGAGAGGGAGTCGGGGCTGACAGACAACCTAGTGCTGTGGCTGGGGAAATCCTGCCACAGCTACATTTAGCCATCTTAACACATGAAGATCCTTAAGCTCAATGTAAGTTTATTGTTTCAGCTAAACAATAGAGCACTTACTGTGAGGGAGTGGAAGGGAGGAGTTATCACAGTGTTATTTCATAGTATCTTTCCTAGACCTGAAACATCAGTATGATAATACTTTTCCACATTCTCAATGATGCTTTCGAATATTGGTTCACTGTTGTATATAGGAGGGAGAGACAGGGTGGGTACATATGGGGGGGGCGAGAAGGGGGTGTATTTTTATAATTTTGGTAGGAATTTCTTATCCAAAATTCTGGAGGTTTTTGCCTGGGCAGACTTAAATATTAGAACAATGCTCAGCTCTTTGAGGCAGTGGTCTTCTGGCGCAGTGAGGAAGAACTTGACTGTACTCGTTTTGCCTGGGATAGTTGATTTCTTCACAGTAGCTGGTCTGACGCTGTGCTCTGCATTTGTGACCAGTGTTGGTAGCACAGGGATGTAGCTGTAGCTGAGCAGTGCTTGCACAGCAGCAAGCTCTGTTCTGCTTCTCACCCAGCCCTGCCAGCAAACAGGCTGGGGTGGTGCAAAAGGCTGGGAGGGAACGCAGCTGGGACAGCAGCCCCACCATATGATGCTGTGCTCAGCAACAAAAGCTGGGGGAAGAAGGAGGAAGCAGGTGCCTGAAGCGGAGGCATCATGGAGCTATTAATTCAGCGTCCTGCCCCAGCTAACTAGCTCCGCATCAGCAGGCTGACCTTCACTTACAGTCTCGGAGCAGCCTGGCCCCACATGGAGCCAAATATTTCTGCATGGCACCATATATTCCTGCGTAACCATACCTGATGATTCATGTACAACACCCCAGGAGAGAGCAATGAATCATCTGTAACAGTGTGAAAAATGGCCCGGTGTGATTTGTGGCCTCTACCAGGTTCTGAGCAAGAAATCACGCTGCTGACGTGTATAATGTAACAGGAGACAGAAGTCTATTAAACGTGACCCCCTGCCAGCAGCAGCTGACACTGTGCCAGGAGTAAGCCTAGAAATTCTTTGTAAAGCAGCACACTGGTTCTCATTCTATGAAGAAACTCAAGCACAGCAACCCTATCCTTTGTTAATCTGTGAATCCTGATAAGCGCTGGAGCTGGCCTGAGGAAGCTGTGAGTTCAACAGAAATGCTGTGTATGTGGGCATGCTGAAGAAGTAGCAGCATAGGTGAAAGGTACCAGAATGCTGAGGGCTTGGCTCTTGGTGTGGCAGGTTGGGGCACCAGCATACAGGGTTTAGAAAGGTGAGCACCACGGGTGGGGAGGGAAAGGGGGCCGTGTCAGCAGGTGCATGGGAAGTGGCATGGCCATAAAAGACCAAAAGCAACAGCTTAACCCCCTGCTCCAGGCTGGGAAATGTGGGTGAACTGTTTGTTTACCAAACGAAGAGAGCATTGAACGTCATTCCTGGCATGTGGAGTAGGGAGATTACCCCATCTTGAGACCTGCAGGAGCCTTGGTGGAATCTCGGATTCCTGTGTAATGCAAGTTGTGATGTTAGTAACACCACAAAGTCACTTTATAAGCAAACTGTAAAACAACACGTCTTTAGGGGCAGGAGCTCTCTCTCGCATGGCCTAGACTCAGGAAAGTCTTTAAGCTTGTAACCTCCAGCTACAATAATTACATTTTTACTGGGAAAGAATTTGAAGCCTAAATGTTTTGAGGGGCATTTCCAGTAGGTGAACACCGCTCCTGTTCTGCTCTTCCTAATTTCTTGTTGCCAGATGTGGCTGGCAGAGCATTACAGTCCTAAACCACCGAGCAAGAAGTGGAGGAAAGGCGCAGCAGCACTACCAAGGCACCAAGGAGTGTGGCTGTGGGCAGGGAAGGGGCACTGAACAAGTGATGTGATGGTGTGCAGGGTGACAAAGGAGCTGATGATGCCCTCCTCCTGCCCCCTGCCAGCAGCAGCATGCCAGGATCGAGTCCCCCATGCCTTCCCCCCATAGCCAGGAGAGAAGGGGGTCCACACTGAGGTGTTCCTGCTAAATCCTTACTTCCCTGCAAAACCGTTGCACACCCCATCTCCTGAGGCAGCTCTTTCTACCTGTGTTAATGTGGCACCATAGCAGAGCTTTCCATGGCTTACTAATTAACTTCCTCCCACCCCCGGGAACACCTAGCCACTCCCTTTGTCCTCACCTATCCCAGCCATTTATAGCAGCTATGGGATGCTAGAAATAGAGCCGTGTCCACTAAGAGCCCAGGAGCCTGTAGACAAAAGGAGTAGTGCAGTCGATTCACAAAGGAGGTATTCTCCAGCTCGCTGCAGTGAGGCAGCATGAAAAGCCCTGGGTGCACTTCAAGGTAAGGGAAGGGGGACGGGAACACTGTGGGTGCAGAATTAAGGTAGAAAGGTCTGGTCCGGGTAATCCCTGAGAGTTATTAATAACCTATAGAGTTAGTTACAGTTTGCTCCAGGGTGCAGGTTAATTTTGCTGTGATTCTTTCCTTCCTGTATTCCAAGTCTTTTAATTTGAAAGAACCTTATTGGGTCAACACACAGAACTGTTATTTTCAGCTTAAGCCAAATGAACCAGAAGGTTGTCCCAAGCCTTAAAGCATCCGTAGCAGCACCTCCAAGTGTGACCCGGGAGGTGGTTTTCCATGTTTTCTTCCCGGCTGCGAGATGACACGGGTTGGGAAAGGGAGTTGAACCTCTGGCACACCCCTGCTGACAGCTCCCCAAGGATTTTGGCTTCTAGGAAAAATTCTGTGTCTTGGCAATTGGCTCCCAAGTGCTTCCCCAAAGGTCTCCCAGGCTGTTGCGTGTCTTCCGTGCTTGGGTGGCTTTTGTGCAGTGTTTGAGTTGTGGCTTTCTCTCTTCACCTTTGCTTTGCAAAAGACTGTATGAATGTGCCAAAAAAAGTAGATGCTGGCTCTGACTGTAGCCGGCGACTCTGGGCTGTGCCAGACTTCATGCGAAATGCTATGTCGCTGTTGTGTGAGGAAGGAAGAAATCACTACAGCCATGATCCCATGCACCATGTCCTCTGTGTTCCTATCGGCAGGCTGGTGGTTATGAAATCCCTCTGCTTGCGGCTGTAACTGTGAAAGATCAGTTCTCTTTTCTGTAACGCCAGGTACTTCTCTGGTTCACCTTCAGTTTGTGCCTGTGAAAGCAGTACAATAGCTCTCAGACAAGTGGGACGTGTCTTTTCTGGAGGGCATTGAAGGATGGGGGGTGTTTCAGCCATCCTGAATAGGGTGTCTGTTGGCCCAACAAACAGATGTAGAGGTGGCTTAGTCAGAGACTTGTAACCTTATGACAAAGGTGTGTGTATGTGGCACTAACGGAACAGTGTTTAAGAGCAGTGCTGGCTCTTGCAGAGCTGTGCCAGGGCAGTGGGTGCAGAGCGGGTGGTGGAACCTCTTCTGCAGGTTTGCAGGACACACTGAAACCAGCAACAGGCTCTTGTGGGTGCAGCGGTGGGTGGTTGAGCCCCAGGGGTGATGGGGACAGGACCGGCTGCATGGGTGCACCAACCAGTGCCTATGTACCTGCAGCCCCCCCTCCCCATCTCCCTCCAGGACCCACTTACCTGCACTCCTTCCTGGGGGTCACCTTGATCCTAGCCCTTGGCCCTTCTCCTGAACACTTCCACTGGTCTTTGCTGGGGGCAGTGGGGTGAAGGTGGCTGCAGTCCCCTCTCTTTCCCCATTCCCTGAGCACTCCCTGAGCTGGAAGGCAGGTATCCACCCATACATCCCCAGGCAGGGGAAAAGCACAATGCTACAGGGTAGTGTTGTTTGCCACCCTGGGACAAGAAGCCCTCCCATCAGTGACAGATGTTCCTTAGCTGCCTCCCAAGGTGAGAACCAGAAGCGCAGCCACCTCAGGGGAGTGCGTGGCTATAGTGGATCCTCCTGTACCCCTCTGGGGAAGCTGCATTTGTGGTTACCTCTCTGAAGTGCCTGTCACCAGCACATGCAGTGTGAGATATAAATGGGAAGAATTAAGAGATCTGTGCGCAGTCACAGGGCCATGCTCTTACTGCAGTCACAGAGACATGGCGGGATAGCTCACATGCCTGGAGTGCAGTCACGGGTGGATATGTACTTATTAGGAAAGGCAGGCCAGCAAGGTGAGGTGGTGGAATTGCTCTTTGTGAGAGACAGCAACCGGAATGTGTCGAGCTCTGGCTAGGGGTGGAGCAGGTCCAGAGAAGGGCAATGGAGCTGGTGCAGGACCTGGAGCACAAGTGTGATGGGAACGGCTGAGGGACCTGGGGGGTTTAGTCTGGAGAAGGGAAGGCTCAGGGAGGACCTTATCGCTTTCTACAGCTACCTGAAAGGAGACTGTAGCGAGGTGGGGTCAGTCTCTTCTCCCAAGTAACAAGCGATAGGACAAGAGGAAACAGCCTCAAGCTGCATCAGGGGAGGTTTAGATTGGATATTAGGAAAAACTTCTTTACCAAAATGCTGCTCAGGCATTGGAACAGGCTGCTCAGGGAATGGTGGAATCACCGCCCCTGGAAGTGTTCGAAAAACGTGTAGATGAGGCCCTCAGTGCCATGGTTTAGTGGTGGCCTTGGCAGTCCTGGGATAATGGCTGGACTTGATGATCTTTTCCAGCCTAGTTGATTCTGTGATCATATGATTCTATAAGAATAAGTTGAGAGTTTGGGAGATGGTGGTGTTCAGGATATTGCATGGAAGAAGCAGGGCAGTAAGTAGGTTTGCAACCCTGGACTTCAGGAAGGTAAACTTTGGCCTCTTCAAGGACCTACTTGGAGGAATCCCATGGGTCAGGGCTCTGGAAGGGACAGCCCACTTGGGATGAATATATGAACACTTTGCTGCAGTGCCATCATAGTGTTACAGCATCGCCGCCTGGCTCCACGCTTCCACTGTGTGCACCTTCGGCTTGTGGCCCCCAGTCGCAGCTGGTGCAGCTGGTTATGATGGCTGTGGGTTTATGTGCAGCTCTTTGTTCTGATGGGCTTTGCTCCAATCCTCTCTCTAGTTTTCCATGGCCAGGTACCATGGCAAGTGCATGGGAGGCTGTAGACCATGTCCCATGAAACTGGTGGTTACATCCATGTCAGGCCAACCACGAGGAGTGGTTCAGTGTCTTTCACGTGGTACAAGCTGTGGGATATGGAAGCCACTGCTCTGTGCAGCAGGACCATGTGTGAGGATCCTTAGCCAGAAGGACAGTAGAAAGGACCACCAGGTCCAGCCTGCAGCAAGCCGTGTGCCCCTATTGACCCTTGGACTGGGCAGGCTTGCAGCCTTCCTCACTTCCTTGGGAGAGTGGGAGCCATGAGTTTGACCATCCCATGCTATAAATGGGAGTACATCTTCTCAAAACAACCAAAAGCCCAAGCCAGATCTGCTGCATTTTGGAATTTTCTAGTGAATAATCGAGAAGTTTCAACAGTGAATGAGATCTGGAGACACAGAGAGCTAAAAGAAAGGCAAAATAAAAGGCAGCAGGGCAGAGCCGGAGGCTGTTGGAAGCGCTCAAGCTCTGCCTGTAGTAGGCTGTGTCTTGCCAAAGGCCAAAACTTGAAGAGTGATGGTGAAAGAGCAATTTCTCACTGTCCTGCCTCTAATGCAGAGCTGCTCACACAGCTGAGGGAGCAAAAGGAGGTATAAAATTGTGCTCCCCATGATGAAACATTCCCAAGCTCAATCAGCGGCACTGGGTGGCTCACACTCAGGAGGCACTATCACATAAAAATCCCCTGAAACTCTCCTTTCTCTCCAGGCATACCAAATGTCTCGTCGTTATCAGCCTTTGCCTGGGACTGATCTTCCTGTCGGGATTCTTCCGTATGAAGAATAAAGACTACACGTAAGTGAAGTGGAAGCAAGGTTGTGTGACTTCATCTGCACAGGGCAGAAAGGGTCTGACCCGTGGCACTTGATTTTAACACATGGGTTTTAGGCTAATAATGTAAGGGCAGTGGCCCAAAGTTATGTCCTAGATCCACATTTGGGTGGCAAGGGATGAAATTAGTCAGAGTGTAGCTTTCTGGGGCAAAATCAGCCATATGGAAAAAGAAAAGGGGATCAAGCTGAAGCTTTTGGGTGGGAAGCTGGAGAAGCAGAAAACAGTCTGATATCTATGCCTGAGGGATGGGGCTTATTTAGGTGGGTGCCTTGCCTCAGATGCAGGTGTGGTATCAGAAGAACCTGCTCAGGCTTGGCTTTGTCATGTCCCAGAGATGGGGTATGGCACTGCAGGGGCTGTTTTCCCTACCTGTTGCCTTCCTGCAGAATCTCAAAGGTCCACGAGGAACTGCTGATCCCTTTCATGCCTTGCCGTGCCAAGACTAATGTCATGTTCCTCAAAACCCACAAGACAGCCAGCAGCACCGTCCTGAACATCATGTTCAGGTTCGCAGAGAGGTACAACCTCACCGTCGCACTGCCAGCTGACCAGCTTGTCCACCTGGGCTACCCAAACACCTTCCTGGCCCACTTTGTGGAGGAATTCCAAGCCATAGGACGAAACTATAACATCATGTGCAATCACCTGCGGTTTAACCCCTCTGAGGTAAGGAAGGGCCACAGCACCTGCGGAGAAACCCGGTTCAACAAGCAGGGCCTCCAGACTAACAGGCGGAAGTCATAGCTAGACCACTCTCCATCATCTTTACCAAGTCTTGGGAAACGGGAGAGGTGCCTGAGGACTGGAGGAAAGCAAATGTCACTCCAGTCTTCAAAAAGGGCAAGAAGGAGGACCCAGGTAACTCTAGACCAGTCAGCCTCACCTCCATCCCTGGGAAAGTGATGGAACACCTTGTCCTTGGTGCCATCTTAAGGCATATCAAGGATAAGAGGGTTATGAGGGGCAGTCAACATGGCTTCACCAAGGGGAAATCATGTTTGACCAATCTCTTAGCCTTTTATGAGGAAATAACACGGTGGATGGATGATGGCAGAGCGGTGGATGTGGTCTACCTTGACTTCAGCAAAGCATTTGACACAGTCTTCCCCAGCATCCTCACAGCTAAATTGAGGAAGTGTGGTCCAGATGATCAGGTAGTGAGGTGGACTGTGAACTGGCTGAAGGAGAGAAGCCAGAGAGTTGTAGTCTATGGGGCTGAGTCTAGTTGGAGGCCTGTAACTAGTGGAGTGCCTCAAGGGTCAGTACTGGGACCAGTATTATTTAATATATTCATCAACGATTTAGATGAGGGAATTGAGTGTACTATCAGCAAGTTTGCTGATGACACTAAGCTGGGAGGAGTGGCTGACACGCCAGAAGGCTGTGCTGCCATCCAGAGAGACCTGGACAGGCTGGAGAGTTGGGCAGGGAATAACTTGATGAAATATAACAAAGGAAAGTGTAGAGTCCTGCATCTGGGCAGGAACAACCCCAGGTTCCAGTATAGGTTGGGGAATGACCTGTTAGAGAGCAGTGTAGGGGAGAGGGGCCTGGGGGTCCTAGTGGACGACAGGATGACCATGAGCCAACACTGTGCCCTTGTGGCCAAGAAGGCCAATGGCATCCTGGGGTGTATTAGAAGGGGGGTGGTTAGTAGGTCGAGAGAGGTCCTCCTTCCCCTCTACTCTGCCCTGGTGAGACCCCATCTGGAATATTGTGTCCAGTTCTGGGCCCCTCAGTTCAAGAAGGGCAGGGACCTGCTGGAGAGAGTCCAGTGCAGGGCAACAAAGATGATTAAGGGAGTGGAGCATCTCCCTTATGAGGAAAGACTGAGGGAGCTGGGTCTCTATAGTTTGGAGAAGAGGAGACTGAGGGGTGACCTTATAAGTGTCTATAAATATATAAAGGGGGAGTGTCATGAGGATGGAGCCAGGCTCTACTCAGTGGCAAACAATGATAGGACAAGGGGTAATGGGTACAAACTGGAACACAAGAGGTTCCACTTAAACTTGAGAAGAAACTTCTTCTCAGTGAGGGTGACGGAACACTGGAACAGGCTGCCCAGGGAGGTTGTGGAGTCTCCTTCCCTGGAGACATTCAAAACCTGCCTGGACACATTCCTGTGTAACATTATCTAGGTGTTCCTGCTCCGGCAGGGGGATTGGACTAGATGATCTTTCGAGGTCCCTTCCAATCTCTAATACTGTGATACTGTGATACTAACAGCCTCTCTTCTTCCTCCCGGCAAACAGGTGCAAAAGGTGATGGCAGCAAACACTTTCTACTTCTCCATCCTGAGGAACCCCATTCCTCTGCTGGAGTCTTCCTACATCTACTACAAGGACACTGTCCCTGCCTTCAGGATCTCCAAGGACGTGAATGAATACCTGGCGTCACCCATGAAGTATTACTATCCAGCGGATTACAAGCGAAACATCTATGCCAGGAATATCATGTGGTTTGACTTTGGGTATGACAACAATGCAGAGGACAACAAAAAGTACATTCAGGCAGTCTTGAAGGAGATTGAACAGAACTTCCACCTGATCTTGATAGCAGAATACTTTGATGAGTCCATGATCCTCTTGAAGCACACTTTGTGCTGGGATCTGGATGATGTGGTTTACTTTAAGCTCAATTCCAGAAGCCAGGACACTGTCCAGACCTTGACTCCAGAAAGCGAGGAGCAGATAAAAGCATGGTGCTCACTAGACTGGAAGCTCTACCTGCACTTCAACCAGAGCTTCTGGAGGAGAATTGAGGAGACTATAGGCCTTGAGGAGCTGGAGAAGGAGGTGAGTCGCCTGCGAATGAGACAGAAGGAGCTCATGGAGACCTGTCTCTCGGACCAGGAGGCAGTGGGGAAGGATCACATCAAGAACAAAGCTCTCCTGCCTTTCCAGTCAGGGGATGCAAATATCCTTGGGTATAACCTCAAACAAGACTTAGACAACAGGACACTGAGAACCTGCCAGAAAATGGTAATGCCAGAGCTCCAGTACACATCCTATCTTTACGCTGCCCAACACCCGCACAAGAAGAGGAAGCAGTTAGGCTTGCCCTTGCTGTGGACCACTTTCCAGGAGAAGATGCAGCCCCCAACTCCCAACTAGGGCATGTGACAACTCACTGCAGTTTCCCACCCCTTCGCGTCACCCCATGTCTGGCACATGACTGGTCCACAAGGCTCTTGCACAAGAGAGAGAGGCAGGAGAGGGCTTTGTTCAGGGCCACCAAACTGGTGGTGGGTCCCTTTTTGGGGATGTTGAGCCCAAGGCTCTGCATTGTCCAGATCCTGCATGATGCCTGTTGCCAGGCAGGGGGACAGCCTGCTGCTGCTGCATGCCAGGCGGGCTTTCAGCTGGCTTAGACATTCCTGCCTCTTAATCATTAATCACGGGCTTAATCATTTTGTTTGCATTTGACTTTGTTTAATAGCTGCCATTTCATGCAGACTGGTCACAGCTCACTAGAGCAAGACCTGTTTTAGGGCATTTAAGGGAAAAAAAAAGGGGAGGGGGAGGGAAACGAGGAGGAGAGAGTGATGAGGGATGCAGTGCTCGGAGGAGTAGAGGAGATACTGGGTGTCCTGTCCAGCATCCATGCTCAGTGACATCAAACCACCATGCGATGCCAGTGCTGCTCTTTGGATGAGAGTCACAAGCATCATACCCAAAGCTGGGTGTGCTGCCTTTCAGCCTTTCCCCACCAGCACATGAGACGTCGTTTTTCATGTGTGTCATGGGGTGTGTGGGGCCTCTGCACCACCTGAGACAGCTTGGTGCTCCCCTGGGAGCAACATTCGGGGTTTCACCCCGCTCCCTTGGACAAGGGTCCCCAGTCCCTGGGCATGGATGGTCCCTTGGGCTCAGCATCCCTGAGGCCCTTTATCAGCAGAGGCTTCGTTGCTGACAAAGGGATTCCCCATTGCCCCCACCACTCTCCAGCACTGATGAGGAGTGGGGTGGAGGGAGACATAGCTGTGGGCACAGCAGTCACACCATCCAGGTCCTGCAGCTGCCCTGAGCAGTGTGAGCAGGAGGAGATGCTGGCTGAGCTTTGAAATACAGCACCACTGGCAATCATTAATGGCCATGATGCCAAAGCCACTGGGCTTGGTGCTGCCCTTCTGACAGGCCTTCCCAGTGCTGTTGCAGTACTGGGACCTGGATGGCAAGAGGGGGATGATGATCCAGGATCCCTTGGCTTGCAGCTTCGCTGCAGAGAGAGATGCTGTCGGAGAGAGTGGTTTGAGAAGCAGAGCAGGGATTTCTCTTGGCTGTGTTTCAACCCAGGAGGTAGTCGAGGGAGCCAGCCGAGGCAAGGGTTAACTGCCTGCAGTGCAACCTGTGCTCCTCTCAAGCCATGTGCACAAGGGGAGCAGCAACAGCACTTTCTTGGTTTTCTGCTCCAGCAACCTGAGATGAAATTAACCAGGCATTTATAACTACCTGGGGTGGAGGAGGCGGCCGCTGCATGTGTTCAGCCTGGGCAATCCCTGAGGGCCTGTCCTGGCCAATTCTGCAGCCTGAGCCTGGGTTTTGCCTTGAAGCCTCTGACCCATGACTGCCATGTGCATGTTGTTAAGCCACTTTGGCTGAGCTGATGCCTGTGGTGGAATATAAGCATAGAAATAATTGCTTAACAGCTGACCTGTGGTGGGGGTCCTGGGAAGGCTGGGACCCTCCAGCCCACAGGCTGGGGAGCTCACAGCTGTGGTGGCCCATGGTGAACATGGGTTCCAGGACCTGGGCAGGGAGCTCCAGCCTCTCCCAGCCTGTGGGAGGGGGAAAATCACTGAATCATGAAATGGTTTGGTTTGGAAGGGACCTTAAAGCTCATCCAGTTCCAGCCCCCTGCCATGGGCAGGGACACCTTCCACTAGACCAGGTTGCTCCAAGCCCCGTCCAGCCTTGCCTTGAACACTGCCAGGGATGGGGCAGCCACAGCTTCTCTGGGCAACCTGTGCCAGGGCCTCAACACCCTCACAGGAAAGAATTTCTTCCTAATATCTAACCTAAATCTCCCCTCTGTCAGCCCAAAGCCATTCCCCCTTGTCCTGTCACTACAGGCCCTTGTAAAAAGTCCCTCTCCAGATTTCCTGTTGGCCCCTTTAGGCACTGGAAGCTGCTCTAAGCTCTCCCTGGAGCCTTCTCTTCTCCAAGCTGAACAAGCCCAGCTCTCTCAGCCTGTCTCCATAGCAGAGCTGCCCCAGCCCTCAGAGCATCTTTGTGGCCTCCTCTGGACTCACTCGAGCAGCTCCACATCCCTCTTGTGTTGGGGCCCCAGAGCTGGGCACAGGACTGCGGGGGGGCCTCAACAGAGCAGAGCAGAGGGGCGGGATCCCCTCCCTCGACCTGCTGGCCAGGCTCCTTGTGTTGCAGCCCAGGGCACGGTTGGTTTCGGGGCTGTGAGCGCACTGCTGTGCTGCTGGGAACTGCAAACACCCCCCATGGCCCCCTCTGCATCCCCCGGGGGCTCCAGCCAAGGTGGTTTGGCAGCTTCGGGGCCCCAGCTCTGCCCAGGGTCCATAACGGTGCCTTTGTGCGGCGGGTGCTGCATGAGCGACTGCCACTGCTGACTCAGGGGTTTTTCCAAGCCACTGTGGGAGCCCTGTGACCCATCGCTGGGGGGACCCTGCGGGCTGGGAAGGGGGGAGCAAAGCAGCAAGGCAACAGGCTCTGCAGAAAGCTGCCTGCTCCCGGAGCTGGTGTTACCCTGTGGTGTGTCTGGGACAGAGGGGATCCGCAGCTGAGCAGGACCCGGTGAGTGCCTTCGCTTTTAATGTGAGGTGTTTGATTGGCTGTAGCTCCTAATTAAATCACAGGTGAAAGTCACCCTCAGCTGCTCCGGCTTCGCCCTGGAGGGGGATGCCCATCTATCTCCTCCCGTGGTGGTAACCTGGGGCACGCAGGGACATGTAACTTTGGGACAGCTGACTGTGGTGGCGCTCCTGCTGCCAGCATAGAATCACAGAATGGTTTGGGTTGGAAGGGACCTTAAATCTCACCCAGCTCCAACCCCCTGCCACATTCAGGGACACCTTCCACTAGACCAGGTTGCTCCAAGCCCCATCCAGCCTGGCCTTGCACACTGCCAGGGATGGATGACCTCGAAGATCTATTTTGTTTTGTTTTGGGGTAGCCCAGGTCAGCCTCTTCAGTGCTACTCAAAATCCTGTGCCCCCTTTGAACAGCGGTGATTTGCCACCGCAGCAGCACACGTTCAGCTCTCTCAACCCCAACCTTGCCTGTAGCCACCAGCCCTCCAGCCCATGCTCTCGGGGGTTCCCCAAACCACCGAGTTTTCCCCAAGTTAAAACCCTAACCCCCTCCAAGGGCAATCCAGTCCCAGCCAGCACCCACAGCTGTGCCTAGCAGCTGGTGTCCCCCCTTCATCAACCCACTGTGGTCGGGCCACATCTTTGTGCTGCAGATGCCATGGGCTCCCGGCACTTCCCCGCCCGCACCGTGCTCTTTGAGAAGGAGTCCAATGGTGTCACGTACCGTGTGCCCGCCCTGCTCTACCTGCCCTGCGTGGCCAAGCTGCTGGCGTTCGCGGAGGAGCGGCTGAGTGCTGACGATGCCCACGCCAACCTGCTGGTGCTGCGCCGTGGCTCCATCTATGGCAGCTACGTGGAGGTGGGATGAGGGATGCCCTGGGGTTGCAGAGGGCACAGGCGGCTGTCCTCCATTGCTTGTGCCTGGCATGGCTGAGCTCCTGGAGGCAGCCACAATGGGGAGGGGAGACTGGGCTGGGTGAAGTGGAGTGGTCCTCATCCCTCTCCATGCTCTCCTCCTCCCCCTCGAGCAGTGGGAAGACATGCGTGTGCTGGAGACGGCTACGCTGCAGCACCACCGCTCAATGAACCCCTGCCCGCTCTATGATGAGTTCACCGGCACCCTCTTCCTTTTCTTCATCACGGTGCTGGGCAGGACACCCGAAGCCTACCAGATTGTCACTGGCCAAAACGTCACCCGCCTCTGCTGCGTCACCAGCACTGACCAGGGACTGAGCTGGAGCAAAGCCACGGACCTGACGCAGCAGGTCATTGGTGGGGCCATCAAAGGTAGTGCACTGGAGTGGGGCAAGAAGAGGGGAGAACATAAGGGCAATCATGGGGGTTTTGGTCTCCTGGATGCATCCATTGTGTGGCTGGAAGTGGCCTCAGAGTAGGAAGCCCACAGGCATCAAAGAGGTGGGGTGGAAAAGGATCTCAAGCAGAGGGGGGCTGAGATGGAGGGAGCACCTGTATCATTTGCATGGAGGAAAAGATGGAGAGGCCCAGTAGCTACGAGCAGGACAAAGAGAGCTCTGATGCCTCCCACCCCACCACCTTGCTTAGCTAGGCTGGGAGGGATGCTACGGTGAACTTTCCACACTGGGCATGGCAGGAGCACCCTTCAACCACATCCCATCTCCTCTCCCTAGACTGGGCAACGTTCGCACTGGGCCCTGGGCACGGGATCCAGCTGCGGTCAGGCCGGCTGCTGGTGCCTGCCTACAGCTACCACATCGACTGCAAGGAGTGCTTCGGACAGCTCTGCAAGACCACCCCTCACTCCTTCGCCTTCTACAGCGATGACCACGGCCAAGGCTGGCGCTTTGGGGAGTTCATCCCCAACCTGCAAACAGGCGAGTGCCAGCTGGTCTCGGTGGATGAGGAGGATGGCTCCAACGTCCTCTACTGCAATGCCCGCAGCCCCCTGGGCTTCAGGGTCCAAGCACTCAGCACGGACGATGGGGCTGTCTTCCACGGGGGGCAGCTGGTGCAGCGGCTGGTGGAGCCCCCCCATGGCTGTCACGGCAGCGTTGTCGGCTTCCCTGCACCTTTTGTCTATGTCCCTGCCACCCCTCGGGACCCCGTGATGCCTGTCCAGGGCTCAGCTTCCCAAACGCTCCCTGGGATGCTCCCTGGGATACTCCCAGGGTTTCGGTACCTGCCTGCTGGGCGGGCTGCAGGTGAGGAGCTGTCTGCAGTGGCCACCAGCAGCCATCAGGAGCCAGCTGAGCCTAAGGAGGGCTGTCCTATCCCAGGGCATCACGGCCATGTTCATGGCAACACCTTGGTCCAAAGGGACCCCGTGGTGACCCCCAGCCCCACTGGCTTCTTCCAAGCACCCACATGGATCCTCTACTCCCACCCCACCAGCTCCATGTCACGGGTCAACATGGGGGTTCACCTGAGCACCTTCCCCAGGGATGTGGAGAGCTGGACTGAGCCATGGGTCATCTACGAGGGCCCAAGTGCTTACTCAGACCTGGCTTACATGGAGCTGCCCTACAACGAGGCCCCCATCGCTGGTGGCCCAGCCATTGCTTTCGCCTGCCTCTATGAGAACGGGACACGGTCGCCCTATGAGCAGATCTCCTTCAGCATGTTCACACTGCATGATGTGCTCCAGAACATCCCCCTGACAGCCACTGGTTCCCAGCGGGACAGCAGATCCCCACACTGCAGGAAGCAGGGGAGAAGGAGCTGTCTTGTCTCTTAGTGCCCCCCAAGGTCGGCTCCCCCGAGTCCCTCAGCACCATCCCCAGGGCACCAACCTAGAGACCAGCACACTGGGATGCTCACAGGGTTCCTGCCTTCAGCCATCATGGCTGCATCACACAGAAGGCATGTGTTACCATCCTCAAACTGGCGTTTAGCTGGGTTTTATTACTGGTTTTAATTACTGTAGTTGGTTGGGCATGGAGGCTCCTGCCACCAGCCCAGTCCTGGGCTCCTTTCCATTGATAACACAGGGATGTTGTTATTGCTGAGCAGTGCTTACACAGACCGGCTCCTCAGCTCACCCCACCAGTGAGCAGTCTGGGGGTGCACAAGATGTTGGCAGGGGACACAGGCAGGACACCTGACCATAACTGACCCAAGGGATATCCCATTCCATATGGCTGGTGGTGAGCAACTGTTTTCATTTGCGTTCCTTGTCTTTCTTGGGTTTTATTTCTTTCTCTTTGATATTTTCCTTTTCACTACAATTAGTTATTAATTGGCATTATTATCCTTTTATTTCAATTATTAAACTGCCCTTATCTCCACCAGCAAGTTCTCTGCCTTTTACCTTCTGATAAGCCACGACAATCCCCCATTTACTGTTTCACCTGGCTCACTGCTTGGCTTCTTTAAACTAGGTTGATCATTGCTACTTTCTTCTGAACCTCATCAGTTTTGGGGCCAAAGTCGTCCCAGCACAGGCAGGTTCAGGTCTGTGTCCCTGTAAAGGTTTAGGGGACAAGGGCGAACAGAGGGGATGCTGAAGCTGGTGACACCCGTGGGAGGTGCAATGATGGGTCATGAGCCAGTGGGGATAAAAAGCTGCTCATTTCGTTTGCTGTGTGTGTGTGTGTGTGTGTGTGTGTGTGTGTGTGTGTGTGTGTGTGTGTGTATGGGTGAACTTTGGGCTACACCTCAATTACACCACTGCCTCCCGCAGCACAACTCCATCCAAGTTCCCAGCCCCAGCCAGAGCCTGGCTCAGCTATTTGTTCTCCTTCACCTAAATACAGACCGATTAATGAAGATGAGTTAATGCTCCAGCTCTTACCACTACAAACACTACCATGTCCCATTTTGCACTGAGGTGAGTGGAGGCTGATGATGAGCAGCTGGGGAAGCCATTGGGCTCCTGCCAGAACGCCAGGGGCCAGGTCCTCACCTCTATCGCTCACTGGGCTGGTTTACACCCCCACATGGCTGCCAGCCCCATCAGCACCCCCAGGGAGGAGGAAGGGGTATCATGCAGGCAGAGGGCTCTGCACAGAGGCAGCCCTTTGCATGCCAACCTCATGCAGGGTGGGGTGTCTGTTCCTCATGGGGGACTCTTCTTCCCATCACAAAAGCCACAGAGGCAGCCAAGGCAACCGTTGAGGATCTGGAAGGATGCCAGTACCATCTCAGCAGCACTGATGAGCAGCAGGATGGAGAAGAAGACAACATTCCAGGCCACGATACCCTCTGGCTCCAGGCAGGTGCTCCAGGTGCGATGATCATATAGGTAGTTCTCTGTCCTGAGTGACGGGGAGAGGAGGAGATGTAAGAACCTGCCCTGCAGCAGGTCAGGAATTACATCAGTTTCTGCTGTAGAGGTATGTTCTATCCTTCATCCCAGGGATGAGCAAGGTCAGCAGGGTGATGAGGATAGGAAGCACAATGTAGAAAGCCATGAACAGTGAGGACTTCTTGAGCTATAGGGATCTTGCAATCATAGAATTGTTTGAACTGGAAAGGACCTTAAAGCTCATCCAGTTCCAGCCCCCTGCCACAGGCAAAGACACCTTCCACTAGACCAGGTTGCTCCAAGCTCCGTCCACCCTGGCCTTGAACACTGCCAGGGATGAGGCAGCCACAGCTCCCCTGGACAACCTGTGCCAGGGCCTCACCACTCAGTGAAGGAGCTGAGGCGCTGGCACAGGGAAGAATTTCTTCCTAGTATCTAACCCAAATCTCCCCTCTGTCAGCCCAAAGCCATTCCCCCTTGTCCTGTCACTACAGGCCCTTGTCAAAAGTCCCTCTCCAGATTTTCTGTAGGCCCCTTTAGGCACTGGAAGCTGCTCTAAGGTCTCCCTGGACCCTTCTCTTCTCCAGGCTGAACAAGCCCAGCTCTCAGCCTGTCTCCATAGCAGAGCTGCTCCAGCCCTTGGAGCATCTTTGTGGCCTCCTCTGGACTGTCTCCAGAAGCTCCACATCCCTCTTGTGTTGGGGGCCCCAGATCTGGACACAGGACTGCAGGGGGGTCTCACAAGAGCAGAGTAGAAGTGGAGAATCCCCTCCCTCGACCTGCTGGCCACGCTCCTTGTGATGCAGCCCAGGACACGGTTGGTTTCTTGTCAAATCGCATCAACCAACACCCCAAGTCCTTCCCCTCAGGGCTGCAATCACCTCTAGCAAACCCACCCACCAAAGTAACACCAGCCTCATTAGCAATAAGCTGACGAGGCATCACCTCCACTCAGCTGCACTGCCTCACCTGGCATCAGGCTCCTGGCTGCCAGTGTCCAGGAAGGGGTAACCCCAGATGGTGCCATGCCTGTGGCCATGCTCGGAGGCATTGTAGAAGCAGAAGGGTCCATTGGTCAAACCCACCCCAGAGAAGATGAAACAGGCAGCAGCACCCAGCAGGGCCAGCTTGGAGAGCACAGCTGAGATGAAAGCCTGTAGACAGCAACCAGGGACACAACACACTGAAAGTCAGGTGGGCTCCAAATGCAGCTTCACGTTATCGGTGGAGTTTGGCAAGGGGGCACAACTCTCCTTCCCTTCACCCCAAGGGGCTCCAGGCCTGAGGATCTGAGGCTGAGGATGAAGTAGTCACTGAGTTGTTTAAGCTGGGCAGAAGCAGGCAGGGAACAGGGCAGGGAGCTGCCCTGTGGAGCCTATGATAGCATGAACAGGAAACTGTCCTCTGAGGAGGTAGCGCCATGCGGGATCTCACCCCAGGTCCATGCGAGAGGGGCCCCTTGCCACAAACTCCCTTTGGAGAGGGGCCATCTACCACATCCCACCATGGGGCCATGGGAGAGGAGGATCCATGCCATGTCCCACTATGGCAGAGCTGCCACCCACACTGGGGCCAGCCTCCACACCCCACCACGCTCTGGAGGTCCCACTGCTGCCTTACATTGTGACGGGTGCCGCAGTTGGAGCAGCCGGCACATCGCCACCCCACCGCCGTGATGTGGGTCGCTGCCAGCAGCACCTGCAGGAAGGAAAACGTGGCTGGGGGATAAAGGGAAGCCACCAGCTCCATGCCTTTGTCCCTGCTCCACAGACACGAGGAAGGACTCGGTGCAAGCTCCTGTACTCACGATGATGCCGCCTCCCCAGACACCCGGCATGGCCTTGGCATGTTTGCTGATGTGCCCCTCCACCAGGTACTTCGATGCCCCTCCAGGGAAGAGCAGGAGCATGTTGGCTGCCACGGAGAGCATGCCCAGCACCAGCAGGCAGGGACCCACGATCCGGCTGCATGTCCCTATGCACATGGCCACCCTGCATGGGGATAGGGAGGAGGAGAGGAACGGGTTGCATTCAGAGGGCTGGAGCACCTCTGATATGGAGACAGGCTGAGAGGACTGGGGTTGTTCAGCCTGGAGAAGGCTCCACAGAGACCAACCACCCCAGCTTGGTTTGACTTAGACAGCTTACAACAACCAGGAGGGAGCCAGGCAACAGACAAAATCCTTGGGCAAGGACTTGTGAAAGCACATCAGTCTGCAATCAAATCCAACAGCAACTCCATCCCACACTAGTCCTACTGTAGATCTGAACATGCTGACACCAACTGAAGTTAACTAAGCAAAGGGCGTCACCTGTCCTCAGGCAGCGACCCCAGCTCCACTGTTCCAGTTCACCTGGAAAGTGCCCTTCCATCTCCTGGTGATACCTTGTCAAAAATCACCTCTCTCTCTCCTGTACCTGCAACACCACCTGGGGGATGTCCATCAGCTGCTCTGGGATCACTGAAAACAACCTGGTTTTTCTCTTTCCTGGCTCCCCAGGTTTCTTCTGCCCTGTGTGCATTTTTGCTTCACATGGGTTTCATGCACCTTCCCCTTTCCCAGTGGCTTGCAGCTTGTCTTGCACAAGCTCTCTAAGCCGAGCTGGCTAATGCAGCTATTTCAGGCTTGCTCTGGCTTTGCAGAAGTGGAAGTGAACAGGCGCCATATGGAAGAGCTGCCTCAGCTCCCCTCCTGCAGAGCAGCATCAGTGTCAGGGGGGAGCAGTTCAGGCTGCATGTCCAGCCCCTGCATGGCCTGAGAGGCTGGGGAACACCAGCACTGTGGGGCTTTGCCTTGCTGCAACCTGCCAGAGACCTGCCACAGCAGCCCCGGCCAGCTGCTGGGGTCCAGGAAGAGCTGATCATGGAGGAACAGGGGTCCAGGAAGAGCTGATCATGGAGGAACAGGGCCACAAGACCCTGCTTCATAGAAAGAACACAAACCAAGAAGCCCAAGGTGGACCACCAGCTCCGCTCATCCTGGAGCTTCACCTCCTCCCTGCTTTCTATCCTCCCTGCCTTGGTTATAATGAATATTGGGCCTCTTGCCCTCACTATGGTCCAACTTGCAGCCCCCTGAGCATCCAGTGCTGAGTCCCACCTCCCTACTTTGGAGAAAATTCCAATATAGAAGGTTCCAGAAAAGCTCTTGAGCTCACAGCATGGGCTGCTGTCATCAGCAAGAGGCTCCTATGGTCTTCTGCAAGTCTCCCCTTAACCTCCCCAAGAATTCTCCTTGCCCATCACTGGCTTTCCCTAGGAAAGCAGGAGGTCTTCCCCCAGAAAGCTCTCCATGGCTTGCTGTCCCTCATAATGCACCCCTTGCACCAGAAGGGAGTTTGCATTAAGCTGCTTTCTTCTACCTCAACAAATACAGACAGACAAACCCCTCTGTAAGGGGAAGTAAAGCAAAAATGCAGCTGAACAGTCTCTTGTTGGGACACTTGAAATCAAGTCCCTTCCTGCCAGCATGTCTCCATAGCCGAAAGCAACGGGATTCAAGCAAAGCAAGGAGGACCTTACCTGGAAGTGGTGGAACCAGCAGCATCCACCGCTTGATGAGCCCTGTCCTGGAGGCATCATCTGTGGGTGACTATTTATGAATGTCCCAGTGTCCTCCTCCGCCCCAAGGTCCACCCACCACACCAGTCACGGTCTTCTCATCTCCCACACAGGCAGCAGCTCTAAGGAAAGAATGACTGTCCTGTCCAGGGAGCCAGCCTCTGCCGGCGTTGCAGCTGACCCATCCATTCAGTTTTGCCCCCTTCCACTGCCAGAAGCCAACCAAAACTCGCACAGCTTCAAACTTTAAGGCTTCTACCATGTCTGCCCTAAATGCCTTGAACACTGCCCGAGTATCAAACACTGTTCCTCCTGGAATGACCTGCAAGGACCATGGATGGAGATCATTTTCCTCTCTGCAGCCCACTCCAAATGCTATCATTTTGTCACCATGAGTCCACATCCTCCACAAAGCACCTCTTCCATCACATTTCACCTTATTTCTCTTGTTGTGCAAGAGCTTTGTGCATGGATGTTTAACAACTTAGGGTTTTCTCTTGTTTTTACACACTAGTATTTTAATAATAGCTTCTAAATAAATTTTCTTTGTCTCAGCTGGTTCTTGTGTCCTGCCCTTTGCTTCTTTGCAAAGGCCCTGCTTTTCCTCCAGATGTTGAGCATACCCCCATTACATATATATCTCATGCCCTCGGTGACAACATTGAGGGAAAGCTTATTTCTGGATCCTAATTACTGCAAGTCATCAGACAGCAGCACTTCAAAGTCCTCTCTGAGGTGCCCACGGCTGGCGGTCAGTGTGCAATGGGGAAGCTCCTCATCTTCCCCCATAAAGAATGTCTGACAGTAACAGCTCCGAGACAGGAACAGGACTGGAAGAATGTGATCTCCATGTCTGAAGAGTCAGAGAAGCTGTAGTACAAAAACCAGCCAAAATGGGGCATTTTTTCTGGCAAAGGAGTTGCAGGCAGCACAAGCAAAAGGAAAATTGCTCATGGGCTGTGCAGGCAAAAGGAAGAATCTTAAAGAAGCGTTGGGAGAAGGTTCATATTCCTCATGTGTTCATGAGGACCTGAGGCACAACAGCCACAGATGAAGAGTAAGTGCAGCTATTTTACAGCCCTGATACAATCTTGCTTCCATATAGTAAATAAAAAAAGCCACCAGAGTGCTACCTTTTGGTGTAGAGCCCAACTTGCTCTACCCAGGGTAACGCATGAGAGTAGCATTTGCCAACATGTTTCAAAGTGGCTTTTCCTGATTTCAGATCAATGAGTACAGGTCTGTCGAACACAAAACCTGCTCCAAGCACAGCAGGCCACTCTTGGTTGGAAAAAATGGAGAAATGGAGTTGGAGCCCTCGAGGGCCGTGTGGGAAAAGATGAATGAATGGTGAGGCTGGGTTACATTAGCCAGTTCCTTTTTTCTAGAAAAATAAGCTGAGAGGAGGGGATTATCTGAATAATGATAGTTCCTCTGAAAGAAGAATCAGAGTTTGCACAAGCATGTAAATCCCCGTTTTATTCTTAGATAAGACTAAGTGGTCTCTAAAATGCAGGCAGCAGCAAAGGCAAAATATGCAGGGCAGCAGACTGCCAAGAATAATCCATTTTTCCTTCTCTTCTTGTATTTAGAAAGGAAGCATTTTTCACTCTGCTGGAAGATGTGTTGCAACCTCATCTTGTGCCCCTTTTCTACGTCACACCAATCTGAGCTTCCTACGTCGCTACACACATGATCTGGTCAATCATCTCCCACAGAAAACCCCGTGCCATTCAGCATGAACCATCAGAGTCAATCTTTTCCCCAAGCTACTGATCTTCCCCTTACACCCACTCCAGCCCAAGTCTGTAATAGCAATGATGATCATAAAAAGCTACTTTTAGCCCAGCACAGCTTACCAAGCGCTGTGAGCAGTTGCGTGCCTCTCTTGCATGAGAACTTAATTATGTCAGCACAGCAATTATGGGCAATTAATGTAGCGCCAAGTCATCCAGCCACAGTGCTGCCAAACGGGGTCTCATGCAAAACAATTCTGGCTTGGCAAGGTCCTCCTGCTAACTCCTCTTGACGCTGGATTGCAGCTGAAGAGATGCTGGCTGCTTTCATTCTAGTTGTTTCATGTTGCTTTACCCCATCACACATCAAGGACTATGCCTCTCTGGCCCATGGTTTGCAGGTCACACGTGGCAGTAGCTCTTTCTGGACTTTAAAGTCAGTGAGATTTTTGTAACCACTGCTCTTTGCTTCCCTGAACTCCTCTGGGGCTGTGGAAATAACACAGCAGGTTGGGTTTCAAGAGTAATTTGGCTTCAAGGAGAATCAAAGAAGCTGAGCTGAGTCTGAATCAGCAAAGATCAAACCATTCGGTGCCAAACCAACCTCCACCTCAGTCCTGTCCAGAGGATGCTCACCGTGATACAGCGGTCTCTTCCACCCCTCTCAGTAGCAGCTGCAAATTTATTTCTGCCACTAGCTAGGTAAAACTTCACCAGACTCAGATGTGGGCACTTTTGCTGCCAACAGTGATCCCTTTAGACAAGCCCAGCACAGTCTGTGGACAGAACACAGACTGATGAAATACCAACATGATGCTGCTAGACAATATGGCATTTGCTTTATCTTCCTTACAAATTTCACCTGAGTTAATACCTCAGATGAGAGCAAAGATATTTGGTGGGTAAGGGAAGAGCGACTGACAGCATCTACCTGGACTTGTGCAAGACATTTGGCACTCTCCTGCATGACATCCTTGTCTCCAAAATAGAGGCATGGACTTGGCAGATGGACCACACAGTGGATAAGGAATTGGCTGAAGAGCTGTGTTCAAAGATTTGTGGTCAGCAGCCAAGCCAAGCACATTTGCCATCCTCTCCAACACATGCTGGAAGTGAGTCACGAGGAACACTGGTTGCCGGTTTTATCATGACTGCTGGCACAGTCAGTCAGCCTATTCCATAACTTCTTGGAGAGATCGAACACTGCAAGACTGTTTGCAGTGGCTGACATTAGTTTCATCAGCTTTTGTATTCCCACTGTACTGCTAAGTACTTGTCCAGAAGGGGCTCTGCTCATCGGCATTTCATTTGAGGTCATTATAGAAACTTCCCAAGGAGCCCAAAGGACAGTGGCATAAGAAGCTCCATGTTGACAACACCTGTACCAAGAGGACATTGTCAGCTCAGAATAGATACCCACATTTTCTCTGCTCTTCCATTGGTAAGGACAGAAAATCCTAGCCCTGCCTTTTATAGTTCATTTTCATAAAGGTAATTTTCTCATCCAAGTACCAAAGTCTGTCTCACTTCAACATTGTCTCACTCTGGAATGGGCTGAAGCTTTCTTGGCTAAGCAAGCAGCTTGCTGTAATCAACAATCCATTTGCAGCAGAAACCAGATGCTTTATGTTGAAGTCAGTTACTTGGTTGTATTTATTATCAGACACCATACTGTGAACAGACTTCAAATTCAGGCAAGCCCTGTCCTTGCTGGCTGGGCAAATGTGGAGCTACTACCTATAATAAAACACATTTGGACCTCTTCAGTTGAGCTGCAGCTTCTGCTACTTACTTTGTAAAAAGAGTCAATGCCAACAGAAGTTGCTACAGCCAGGATAGGAAAATCATAAGCTTCCCAGAGGCTCAACAGAGGCTATGGCATCCAAAACCCAAGAGATTACGAAAGCTACTTAAAACAGTTTATTTCCAGGATCAAATATTACAATAGGACATTTACATATATTTATAAAAAATGCAGCAGTTGTGTATATAGATCAGAGGTTTCCTTGAGTTTGGTCCCTCCCAGCACAGCGAGCTGAAATCTTCTGAATTAATCCTCTCCCTCCTCCCATATGAAGTTGCCATCACTGAAGAAGAAAAGTGCCTACTGTAAAAACTGACAGGCCAAGTCAGAATTATCAAACTCCATGGTCACCAATGAGAGGAAAGCCTCATTTAAGAAAATCACCTGTCCTCTGGTCAGTGTGTCTGATGAGACACCACATCCGAGTTGTGTTTTACCCAGATGTTCTTCATATAAATCTGTTCTATAAAATAGCACCTCATCCCCCTGCTCCACGTACTTTTACTGCTATCCTTCTATACCTTAAAGTCTCAGCACCATTTAACAAGCAGGTACAAAGTTACTTATCTCTGTACTGCAGACACTCACAGTAATTAAGGACAGTGACCAAATCCAAAACTTCTGCGATCACTCATAATATACCCATGTAAAACAACAGAAGGTAAGACTGAGTCAAGTTGAGGCACTGATGTTAAGTGCCACATTCTCCAAATAAAAACACGTGTGTGTGTATATATATATATACATACATATACATATGGCTATATTTATTGGGAGTGGACAGACACTAAGCATCTCATGGACAAGAGGAGACAGGAAAAAAAAAAGTCATCCTGTACATCACAGAAAGGGTATCCATTAACCTCACCAGTTTGGGGGCAGAGTATCACCAAACTGAGGTAAGATGTTGGGCTTGGACAGAGAAAACCTCAACAAGACTGTCTCTGCAGGATGTCAACTAACAGACCTCCACAAGCACGGTCAGGTTATCTCCAAACATGCACCTGTGGCTATTTCCAACAATGCAGATGACCAATACAGGGCTCAAACTGGTTTTGGTTTGCCTTTAGAACAGTAGCTGTTGTTCCATTTATAGAAAATAGTTTGTTAAATAAAAGGAAGGGCTGCATCTTCAGATCTATTAGAACACCTAGAAAAGGCACACGCAGTCTTCAAGGGGATGAGACCTTGCATTTCACCCATCTAAAGCACATCTCTGCTATCCCTTCTCCTCTTGGAATATAGCACCACCTATTTTTTACTAATGTGACTAAAAATGGGTTAAAAAAGAAGAAAGTAGTGTCATTTATTAAAAACTAAGAAGGGACAAAAATTAACCGATAAGCTCCTGAAATTACATGTCTTCCCATTCATGTGGACATTCCCACACAGGTCTCTGCCATGTGTTTCTGTGTGGTTTAGAATAACAACCACAAGCACCACATTTTATGTGTTTGGTACCTGACAAAACGCAGCCCAAGTGAAACCATGCCTTTACTTTGGCCTTTGCTGCTTCCGAGTCCCTGCAAAGCAGCTCGGTGCTCCAGCAAGAAGAGAAATGAGAGAAATTAGGTCTTTCAGCAGTGAGGCTGTTATTAAAACACGTACTAAAACCAGCTGGCAGTTTTTTTCCAGGGGACAAACCAGAGTACCAGCAGAAGTGGAAGCTGGTGTAAACACATGTATGAACTTGGCAGCCCTTGAAAAACTCAGCTTTGAAAGCAGTGGACCGTGAGAAATGCAAGGAGTTTGCAGCAGCGAACAACGGATGTCTTCTGCAGATGAGATGCATTATTCTTCTGTAAAAGCAAGGCAGAAGATCTAGTGGGGTCCAGAAAATATTCTGATCTAAAACTGCTTTTTAAATCTCCTTCAGAACAATGGTACCTTTGGATGTCTCTTTATAGACAACTACATTTTACAAGGCTATTATGCACATACATGGATATTCCTTTAATATTGGTGTTGTCAACTTACTTCAGTCCATGAATGTCAGAAGGGTAAAAACTGCAGACCTGAACAAAAAAGCCTAATGAAAATAACACAAGTATGCCCAAAAATGTCTGGCATGGCCTTTATCTACCCTTTCTTATGTCAGTAAGGAATGCTGTGAGGTTGAAGCTGGTCAATCAGCTTGACTTAGCGCATGTATCATCAGGAAGACCCAAAATCCTTCTTGGGCCTCTGAAGGATCACTAGTGGGAAGCCAATTGTAAATGTGTCAACAGCACCTGGCAGGGAAAACCAGCATTCGATTTGCCTTCTGTTTCCAAATACTGGTTGTGACTGTGACTCTTTGCTGCAGTGAGACAGTACATGTCAAAACACAGCACTGCTTGATGAAGAGCACATGCAAAGGAAACTGTGCAAGCACCGAGAAGCTACAGGTTGAAACACATTTAGTTCTCTACCCAGAAAGAATTACACTTTTTAGATGCACTTCTGCTCCTTCAAACTCATGGCAGTCCTTGCAACACAACACACAAATCATGGCCCAGCAACACCCACAGGAAGCCATTAACCACAGTCTTTGAAGAATCTTTTTCCTTCAGTCTTTATATTTCAGCATCTAATTTTGCAATCAAGAGATTTAAGACATTTTTTTCCAGCTTTGTCAAAAGCAATTAGACTTTGAGATTTAACATCTAGAAGCAACTGTAACAATGGATCTTCATAAATAGAGCCCAAGTAGCTTACAGCTTCAAAGCTACAAGCTGTTACAGGCAGAACTCGGCCAATGTTTTCAGCCACATTAGATATTTTGCATTGGATTGCTTCAACCACAACCTAGCTGCACCTACAAACACGGAAGGGCAGGATGGGAGAAGCTACCAATAAAACAGGTCTAGGACTGCAAAGAGAGTCAATTTTGCAGGTTTAACTTAACTGCTAAAAAAGCTGATGTGGAACAATGTTCCCAGAGTGGATACAAAGCCAAGCCTGTCCAAAATGAGTTGGCCCTCCACCAGCAAACACAGTCAGCCAGCAACAACTCCAAAAACAATGAGTGGAACCACAGAGGTGCCCTGTTTTACGTGGGCAGGCACAGGAAGGAGAGCAGGAAAGGTCAACCTGCTCCCATCCCAGCCAGTCTGAGGGACATGAAGGGACTATACATGTGTTGGGCTCTGTGTCCTGTTGGCAGCCTGCCTTAACTTTCCTGTGGTTAACCACAGAAGTAGTAATGAGTTCCAAGGCAACAAATATCAGAGTGAGCTCTTTCAATCAGACAGCTGATCTTGCTTAGGGTAGCATCAGACCTACACAGAAAGTGTTTCCTCCTGTCCAATCTGGGTATCCTAGAAACACAAAATATCTTTCAGTCTAGAAGTGCCACTGCTGCTTCACAGGCCAAAACACCAACAACTCCATCTCCTCTGCTGGCCTTGCAATTCACTTGCCAATGCTGGGAAGCAGCCTCCATGACAGGGGCTCTTCACAAATCAGAAGTGAGCTCTGACACCACATCAACCATTGATTAGGAAACTGCAATCACAGGTTGCTTTCCTTGCACTGCATTTTGCAGAGAATGCAAAATAATTTTTTTGTGTAGAAAGTAAATACATTTATACAATTATACAATTATATGTAAAGCCTCAATTGTGAGCAAAAGACAGTTGTGAGCTAATATATCATGGGAATGCAAGACATTTTCTGTGATTCCCTACACTTAAAGACTAAAACTAGCAAATGAAATTAAAGGCAAAGTGTCTTGAAAAGTTTTGAGTCTATGGTAAGTTACTGATCACTAAAGTTTTGTTTTTTTCAAAATAAGTATAATCATCTGACAATCGCGGAAAAAGTTAGCAGTTCTGGTAGAGCTCACATTACTTTTTCCCCTCATTGATTAAGGGGACAATAAACTGAGATTTTAGTTGTAAATACACTAAGTTGACACCCACCTTGAGGGTGACTGTGTTAGTTAATTTTTATCCCATTGTAACACCTTTTATAACATCAATTGATCAACAGCTCTAAGTCTAGATAAGACACCAGAAAAACAGGGCACTCTGCTTGGCTCAGTGATACACCTGCATGACTTGTGGTGCCAGCTTCCAGAGCTGAAAAGAAAGCCTAAAGGAGTAGCTTTCCATACAGCCTTCTGGATTTAGATGGTAGATGAACATGAAACAGAACAAAAAGCAGCCCAGAGCCTTCAGGCCACCGGGTTGCAAGTCTTTTACAAAGCATTAATTCCTTCCACAGTCTGACAAAGCTGTCAAATTAATGAAGGAAACCTGCCTAGGACTTGCTGTCCTGCTGAGCTGCCACCAGCATTCTAAAAGCTCTGCAACACCAGTCACTCCTGGGGAAAGCAAAACACCATGACATTGAAAAAGCTGACTAACTGCCAAGTTTTTAGGTCAGGTGTTTTCCAGAGACTCCAAGATCTCTACAGTATTTTGCCACCTTCTATTGTCATTTGGAAAATCCTGAAAGCAAGTAAAAAGGAGACACTTAGGGGATGCTGGGAAAAGAACAAATGGAAACTCCAATGATTTCTACCAAGGAGTCAGTTCTGCTGCAACTGTGGACACGAAGCTTTCCCTCTGGGTTAAGCAGTCAATCCCATATTGAGTACAGTTGCGTTTTTGGGGGTTGGTGCTTTTTTTTTTTTTTGCTATGTCCACTAGCAACATTCAAAGCATAAGGAAAACATGCATGCAATCTAGAAGCCTTTAAATTAGAGACGTGCAAAATATCTCACCACAGCTCAAACCAACTCCTTCCCCTAAAACCAAGTTTTCACAGAGCACTACATAAGTTAATCCTTGAGAAGGCTGTGAGGTTAATGGAGACCTTTTGTGTAGGGCATCAAAACAAAGGAAAGACTGTACTGAAGATCACACTCTCCTTACAGAGAGATAACTCAGTGCCTTTTCACACACTATTTGAAAAAAATAAATTAAACAAAATAGATTTAAAAATAGCAGCGAGAAGGGCATGTGTACTGTGGCCTCTCCAAGCCCCAACATACCAGATACACAGATCATTGCTTTACTTAATTCCATGAAAGCAAAGGAAAGATGTTCTTTCCAATGCTCTCTGCAGGGCCTAAGCTGAAGGAAGAAAATAAAACTCTGAACAATCTCATTTGGTCACTAGAGCAGGAGAAGGGAAGAAGAGAGAGAAGGGCCAGCCAGCTGCCTGATTTCAGCACTGCAATCCCATGACTGTGTATTTAATGAGTTGGTGTCCCAGGCAAAGAGGAGAGGGAAGGAAGGCTGGGAGAACTCAGGCCATGGTGCTAATTCCTTTCCTGCACAAAGACAGTCTCTTGAGGACACAAGCCTGCTTCCTGTAATGTGATCTCATAGTCCAGGTGGGAGAGTTTCCTTCGAGGGAAGTTGGTGAGAAGTTCAAAGCGCTCATTGGGGTATCCTTTTGACTGGACATGTTTCACAAGAGCCTGGAGAGACAGAAAGGTAGAGAAGTGTCATATAATTCAACACAACACAAAAGAATGTAAAAGATAGCCGGCTTTCCTGAAATTCTGTATATAGTATAGACTCTCTTTTACTTTAATACCTAATTTGGCCCACACCTGGTATAAATAATCATAAAAACTAATTATCAAGTGACCCCTTCTCTGATTCTTTAAACAGAAGGAAGACGTACATTGTGATAGGATGAGAGGTGATGGCTTTAAACTAAAGGAGGGGAGATTCAGGCTGGATTTGAGGAAGAAATTCTTTACAATGAGGATGGTAAAATATTGGCACAGGTTGCCCAGAGAGGTGGTGGATGTGCCACCCCTGAAGACATTCAAGGCCAGGCTGGATGTGGCTCTGGGCAACCTGATCTAGTTGATGATGTCCCTGTTCACTGCAGGGTTGCCTTCCAACCCAAACTATTCTATGATGGAAATACACTCATTCAAGAGAGCTGAATTCCACGTCACACCTTCAAGTCACAGGAAAATATGATTTGCAAAAAATCCTTAAGTGCCCCAAAACAGAAGCCCCTATTACTTGTTCATCAGACATTACCCTTACACTAGACTTAAAAGCCACCAAAGAAGCATTTTTGTGTGGCAGTACTGACAAGAATAAATGCAATATTTTTACTATTTTCCTTCCCTCAAGAAGCACAAGGGTTTGGGAGGGGGTGGGAATTTTTTGTTAGTTTTTTTTAAAGCTCTTTTCAATTCATGGACTTCTCTGCCTGCAATAGCAATTGAAGCAGAATGCAGAGGGCATTAGGATGAAGGGGTATCAGCCTCAAAACGCAACAAGCACACATATCAGGAAGGGCTAATGCCCATGTTACAATGCAAGAGATTTGCAAAGTTCATCAGGAAACACAGCAGATGACAGCGTAAAGTACAAATAGCCAAGGACAGAAATGGAGACTGGCAGAACAGCAGAGGATACAGAAACACAGCAAGACTTGGGTGGAATGAAAAGTCGTAACTTTTTAAAGAGGGGAAAAAAAGTAAGTATGTAATAGAAAAGTGTGGAAAAAAATAAAGGGGCCTCAGCAATACTGTTGACTTAGTTTTGGAGGGTAACTTATGGCAGCAAATTAAGTGTAAGATAAGCCAGCAGTATTAAGCTTCTACTAGTACTAATTATTCTGCTAGCTTCCCCTCACTATTTAACTGCCTCTTCCAGACCACAGTGCCCCAGCAAACAGGAAAAAATGGTTATGAACAAGCACCTGGCACTTAGTTCTGCAGCTCACAGGCAAGGGGCTCAGGAGATTAACTGCGCGGCTCTTTGAGTGTGTGTGTTCTGGTAGGAAAGCTGTCAGCCATACGGTATAGATGTGACACAGAATGTCTCCCACAACAGCCTGCAATACTCTTTTCCAGTGTATCAATGCAGCTGCAGCATGAGGTCCAAGAGCTGCAGGAAGAGGTCAGCTTGCTCTGCTGTATCAGGTTAGATAAGCAGGAAAGCAGCACGATGCTGGCAGCAACACAGCAAGGGCAAGAACTGAGGCCTTGTGGTGCAGACAGAATGGGATGACCAGAGGCAAGACACACATGCACAGGGAGAACAGCAACTTGCAAGATGAGGCATCCTGGAGACCTACAGCAGCAGAACAACAGCTCTCCTCTCATTTGGGAAAAAAAAACAAACCAGTTGAAAAAAATTATAGAAAGTCTTGTCAATATGTGGGGAGGACAAACAAGTTCCACTGGAAGGCACTAATGGACTCACTGATCCTATTCAGCAAGTCAAAACCAGCATGGAGAAACAGTGCATGCTGGTGGAGGAGACTTCTTCTGCAGGGCACAGAAGCACCCAACTGCCAATGTCACTCCAACTCTTGGAAGCCTGCTGCTTGCCTAGAGTTAAGATCCAGGATGTCATGGAGACATTGTCAAAACTCATCAAGAAAGCTCAACACATGTCTACAGTGCACCCTTGCAGCAGTGACAGGAAACCTGAGCTGCGTCAACAAGAGTATTGCCAGCATCAAGGGATGCAACTGTGCCACTCAGCATCTGGGCCACACTTGGAAGAGTGTGTTCAGACTACATGTTCAAGAGGGACAAAGAAAAACTGCTGGTGTTGGTGTGTGACCCACATTGTGCCATCAGATGAAGTCCAACTGTCTCCTTAAACAATTTATTTTTATTGCTCTGGATAGCTCTAAAAATGGAAGCAGTTAAGGGCTGAAAAAACAGCATGGAAAAGATGCTCACAAAGAAACATCTGTGACTCAATTTTGATCTGACTGAAATGGCTTTAAAAGATCACATAACATGAGCATAAAAGCTGCCTGTTCAGCTCTGCAATAAAAATATATCTTCACCCACAAACCTTGACTCACCTAAATTCCTCTGCTGACTGTAGAGCGGGTGGCAGCAATCACATGCTGAGATTAACTTCCTTTAACTACCATAGTCCATAAAAGGAGTCAAACCAGAAGTCAAGATTATCAGAATTGTATCAATACACTTATGTATCACCTAAATAAATTAGCTAAGTGCTACATGCTTAATAATGAATGCAAATTTGTTTAACAGACTGCTTTCAAAAAGCAGTTTTGTACCTGGAAAAAGATTATACACCAGTGACTGCTATGATAAAAGAAGAATGAAGGTCTGCCAACCAGTAAAGCTGGTTCTTACAATAAGAGTGATGCTCTGCTAGTGTCCCTTAGGCTTTGTATTTCAGACTCAGGGCTCCAAGTGTAGCACTGCAGCCAGCCTATATCCTATCACACTTGGATTTGAGAGCTGATGATGTAACAAAAGCAACTTTTCTTTTTCCTTTAATTTTCAAGCAGAAGAGTCAAGGATGAGAACATGAGTTTGAGACACTATACACTTCTGCAGTGTTGCAGACTAGCTTACAGTCTCATTTTCTGTAAGAGATGCAAGACTTCTTAATCTGCACAAGACCCTTCTGAAGAGGTATGCTTTTGCATTCCCTAAGACTTCAATGCACAGCTTTTAGGTTGATTACATAAAAATGAGCTTTACTGGCCACAGTGTCATGAAGACTCACTCCTAACAGGAACACAGTGACCTCTACCCACTACTTCCAGGGAAGCACCTACAAAATTTTAATGGAAATGCCATTCACATAAACTTCTTCAAGGTAAGCAAGCCCAAAGCACAGCTGAGATGCACACCTCAAGCATAGTAATTGAATAATATTGTAATAAAATTTTTGGGAGAGAACTTCCTCCAAATTCTGCTCTGCCATTCATATCCAGAAAGGAGTCTGGAAGTGCAATGAAAGGGACTGAGAACAAGAATGAAGAATTTTGCTTTTGATTTTACCATTCTTTAACCATAGGCAATGATTGAACTTTTGCATTTAGGAAAACAAACCAAAACACAAATGAGTGAGCTGAGGGTATTTTATGGTACTTTAAAGATTAATGCAAAAGCCATTTAGAATCATTTTAGAAAGGGAACTCTCATTCTGGGGACTAAAGAAGACACTGGAGTGTCCATGCAAACCAAGCAGCAATGGAAACATACAGAGCCAGCAGACTCTGTTGATCAGAAGAGGAACACCACAAAGAAACCCAACAGAATGACACTGCAAGCACTCCCTGCATATAACACTTCCACGAGATCCAAATTCCATAGTGCCACCCCAGGAAAATAAATTCTCCAGTTTCAGCTCTCCTGTGCTCAAACAAGTATTCCCATTAACTCCACTCACCAGAAGTTTAGCTTGTTCAGGCAGTGAAATCTGTTCCCTCTTTCCATCTGGATACCTTAGCATCAGCTGTGCCTTTGGTCCTGCCATAAAGGAAGTTACCATAAGTTAACAAACAACAAGGCAGCTGAACTGAGATTATCTGTAGATTTTAGGTGGCACACTTTACTGTGCAGCACAGCAGGGTTAGAGACTGGAGACAAATACAAGGTTCCAGTCTCTGAAGATACACTTCTATCACATGTGTTTAAAATATAACACACACCAAACTCAGGATTCTGTCCAGAGTTAACAGTAGTGACCAAAACAGGACAGTGTTCTAAGAGAAAAGCACACTGTGCTACCTCTGCCTCTGAGACCGCCCCACTTTGGTGTCCAGCTCAGGCATCACAAGGAGGAAGAGACACTCCAGTGACTTGTTTGTATTAGCCAAAGTTGCATTACTGAAACTCAGTCCAGACTGCCAAGGCAGCCAAGCTAAATGAGCATGAGGTGGGGCTGATGCTGTTCTTCTCTCTACCACAGTGGTAGAAGGCCTGTTATACGCACCTGCATTACACACATGCGTACTTTATTCCTGGATAAGGTCTCAAAGTAAGAAACTTGAGCTCAGTGACTAATAGAGTTCTGCAGTTTGAGGCATCACTATGCCAAAGAGGTGCTGCTGGCAAGGTGAATCGCTCAAACATCTGGTGTCAAGGAGGGAGCAAGACAGAAGAAAAGATTTAGCTTTTCAAAATAAGGGATGAAACCATCCTTGTCAGCATATAAAGATTTTAGGGAGGGAAAAAAAAAAAAAAAAGAAAAAAAGAAGCCAAACATAAACAAAACACAGGTCACTAAAAAAAAAAAAAAAAAAAAAAAAAAAGGAAGCCCTAAACCTAACAAAAACCACAACATGGCAACTTACCATTTACGTCCAGGCCCTGGAATGTACTTTCAGGCTTGTCAGTTGACTCCTCCAGTACCCCTGCATCAATGCAGGGCAGCACTCTGTGATTTGATGTTGTTCCAGGCTCAGTCCTTGCAGGGGGTTCAGGCTGAGGCCTTCGGCTCTCCTCTTTTTTATACCCCAAGTCCTTGTGTGGAGACTTCCTCAACTTGGCAGGATTCTCCGATTCCTCTTCCTCCTCAGATCCACAAACTGAAATAAACTCCTCACTTCCAGAGAAAACCTCTGACTCCGACTCTTCATCTGACCGACTCTCCTGCTTGGCCTGTGTGGAATCAAAATGTGTCTCCTGTAATGAGGCTCTGATAGCAGCTTCCAACTGGCTGTCCTCACTGGCATCAATGAGACTCTCCTGTTGAATGCAGACATAACACAAATATATAAAAATTGCTTTTAAATACATACTGAAAATCCAGAGGACATCAGTCTTCCATAGAGAAGCTACTGTCAGGAACAAACAGCATGGAAAGCTAGTCATGCTATGATGACTTAATGACTTCTTGGAGTTTCACATGGAGTCAATATATTTTCCTTCCACACATGCACAATTCTGTGACTGTTAAATCCAGAACAAATGCTGAAAGCACAAACTGCACAACAAAAACAGCTAACATGGGAAAAGGCATTCTCTGGTGCACCAGATCCTTGCATGCTCTTGCACTAATTCGTTAAGTCTGCTTATACTACAGAATGGGACAACAGTACAGCTGAGTAAGACAGGTTAGCATGTTCTTTCGGGTTTCTCCAGTTTTACGAGAGGGTCTTATACTTACTGAACGAGAACATTTTTCAGGAGGGCTGGTAGAATGGCCATCCAGCTGCCCATGCTCACTCAGGAACCCAGTCACTTGGTCCAAGAAAGAAGTCACATCTAGCTGGTGCCACTCCACTAGTTTCTGACCTAGGGAACAAAAGGTGTCATGAAGCGGAATTTCAGCAAAAGATTGCAGCTTACAGGTGAAACACACCAATTCACTACTGTGTGTGCATTCTGCAAGAGTCTGTACATGTGGAACTGCAGCTTCCTACAGGCTACCACCTGATATTACGAAGCTTCCTCTCTCCGCTCCCTTGAAAAGGTTTCAGTCATAGCCAGACATAAGTACAGACCCTGTTTATTTCTGTTCTTTTCTGTTTACCTATGGGAATGTGTGCACAGAATAGTGAATTAGGTTTCAAAATGAAACAAACCAAACCAAACCAAACCACTATGTTTATGAAGAAGCTTTTCTACGTTTTTGCTGCTTCGATTCTACACCTTGGCAAACCTCATTTGCTTCTGTATGTAAAGAGCTAAGAAGAATATCCTAACTTCAGTATCAACATTAAAAATAGTAAGTGGCTTTGGGTGGGTTAAGTCAAATAGCAAGAAATCTCAGCTCCTGCCTGAGAAGCAGGAGACCAGAGCATTAATATCGTTGCACTATATCATGATGAAAGAAGACAGGTTGTTGGCATACAGAAGAGAAGTAACAATTTCAAAAGAGCTGGATGCGTAAGTAGAAGTTCGATTGTTCAGCTAAAAAAACAAAACCAAACCAAACAACAAACACAAAGCCAAAATCAAATTGGAAAATTAAGATGCAATTTAATAAGTCATTGCTGAGAGTCACAAAGCTCCCGTGCAAGGAGCTGGAAGCAGATTCATGTAATGCTTACAAATATCGTAGTTTATTCATCACAATTTCAAGTAGCTTTTAAAAGAACACTAAAAAAAAAAATCATTTCTGGGTTTTACCACCAGGTAGTACTATTTTCACTTGCTAAGCAAAGTAAGTAAGCTATATCGGGTGCAATAACCATGTACACAAAATTTCAGCAACTCCTGGGAGTTTTATTCCCTCAGCTCCTCCAAAACATACATCTTCAGGAACAACGAGTCTCTCAGAGAGCAAAACAATGTAACTCAGATTTTTCACCGAATACAACAGTGAAGTTGTATGGAATGTATAAACTGCAGGTAACTAACTGTCACTTATCTTACCTGTCCTGGGATCCAGGATGGAAACATAAGGGAAGTCTGCTAATTTATAAAACTGTATGTACCTCTGTCCTTCCTCACTGTCATGGTATACCTAAAAAAAATACCACATTGTATTACTGGGTGAAGAGGGAACACAAACTGTACCTTCACAATAGACAAAGCTTTTCCTTTCACAGTGCAAATGCATTTCTCAGTAACTGACAGGCTGAAAATACACCTCTAACACTCCATATATTAGAAGCTACGTAGTAACATCTTGAATGCACAGGTGAAAAGCAGTTTATGCACTCAAATGCATACCCATCAACTAAATCTACATGCATAAGCTACACTTCCATTACGTACTGCATCTTTTCTACAAGTTCACCAAGAGAACTGCAACAGTGACATTCTATTCAAAGCTGTCTGTTCTTTCCACTACCCCACCTACCAGGACACCAAGTCACCTGCACAGCCCTATTAAACTTCTCACCTGCCAAAAAATGAAATGCTCCCGGATTATGTTCTTCACAGCCTCATTGCTCCAAACATCACGGTTGAGACACTGACAGGCAAAATCTTGCACATTCTGAATGTTTATCATGAGCCACTTGTTCTGCATTTGACCACACTCCTTGGCCTGTAAGCAGAGATAAAAGTTTTATTAGATAAAACTGAAGAGCCAGACACAACCAATGCCAGCAATGATCGGTGATGGCTTCTAACACTGTAAAATTTTTCACCAAAACCCCTTCACAGTGAAAGATGGACAGTGCTAGTGAAAAGGCATCCACAAAACTGAAGGCAGGGCTGAAGGACCTGCTTAAGATGAGACTGCTTGAATTACAGAACCACACTGATGAAGCGAGCTGCTGGATTTCAACAAACCAAGCACAGAGTGGAAAAAAGCAACTTGGGTGGGTGTGACACAGGGACACCAAATAAAGTATTTGTTTGGGAAAGAGTGCAGTCAATCACACTGATCTGAAAACAGATGAAAGACCTGCTCATTCTAAAGATAAACCTGTGGATCATCTTCTATAAGTAGGCTGCGTAATTGACAGAGCATTTGCATAAATTCAACAGAACCCCCTCTCTGCATGTTTTTTTCTTCTCTCCAAGTTTTGAGTCACTGTATTACTGTGTCACTGCCGAATTAGGCATCCTTTTTTGATGCTCATTATTCAGACTGCAAGAGGGGAGGGAGACAGGAAGGCGCAGGAAGAAATCTTACTGGTTTGAGTCACAAAGCTGGCATTGTCTGATTGCTTGGTTGCAAGTTAATGGTAGGAGTTTGATCAAGAATGTAATTCTGATCGCTGAACTGTCATACCTGTTGAAAAAAAGAGGGCTATATCAACAGCAGGAATGCTCTTACCACCTGGAAAGACTGGAACTAGCATATGAAGTGCCTTTCTTTTTAAAAAATTTAAAAAGTGTGTGTTCACCATCCTGCTGGCAAGGTACTGAACAGCAAATTCAAGGAATTGGGATGTTACTCAAGATTTTGCTGGTTTGGGCAATATTTTGTTCCCCAAACCAAACTTTTTACTTTTAAAATGAATTTCAGCCAGTGCACTTTTGAATAATCAGCCCATCCATGATATGACAGGCAGACATGTGAACCCCACACACTTAGCTTCATGAAATGTCAGTCTACATAATTAATCTGCATGGCCAAGTGACCTGCAGAGCCAAGTTTTATTTTATTGAAATAAAAAAAAAAAATTAAAGCAGAAGCACAGAACAGTCCTCCTGTTCTCACAAGGGACCTTATGCTAACTACTTACCACTAATATTATAGTGTCAGAATCCAGTATTTGCTCACCAGGAGAGAAAAGTGGGGCAGGTGATACCCAAGTAACCAGTAAGGGTCTTAAATATAGTCATTAGGCTTCAAAGACTTCTTTTGAGCTAACTGTAGATTTTGAGAACTAACCCTATGAAATCAGTTTAAGATGAGGCCTAGAGGTACTGCCCAAGTTTAAAAGGAACAAAAATCCTGATGTTGTTTGAGTCAACTGGATTGCCTTAGTTCTGTGTTCTAAAGTAATCCATACTAGATTAAAGGAACTCAAAAAACTAGAAAGCTGGAAAGCGCATCTCACTCTTCTATACCTACTTTGTATATTTTTCAGCATCAATGAAAACCTACCTCTACCTCTCCTCCATCCACCTAAGGCCCTCACAAGTTTGCAAGCAGGAAATTCCACCCAGAACATTTGCAAAGATGCATTTTCACCTGTAGAGCTGGTGTAGCTTTTTAAACTACTTGTAACTTCCTTCTAGAGAAAACAAAGAGGCTTTACATAGAACATTTAAAAAGATGCCATCATCTCACACACACAGAGGTCTGCTCTTACACAGCTACTGCTTTTCTTCTGAGAGGGTGGAAAGAGTGTGGGGTGAAGAAATGCTTTGTGTTTGGAGATTATATTGGTGGGTTATTTTGGTAAGTGACAAAAGAACAAGGGAAGGCTTAAGATCTGGCTTGTGTATCCCGAGAAAGTCTCATAGCTTTAGATCTGCTGTTTCGAATATCAACTGGCCCCCATTTCTCTTCCTCTTTCAACGTATAAAGGCCATCACCAGGCATTAAAGAGGACACACACTGAGTAAATGTAGAACAATCACTCCTTGCAAACATCTCTGTTTAAGCTTTCAGCAATCAGCAGAGTAGGAACTTTCAAAGACAGAGGCAGCAGATCTCATATACAAGGGACAAACACAAAACCAAACCAAAACCCATCTGTCCTGAGTTTGCTTTTTCTACTCAGCCACATTTTTCATCGCTGCGACAACTTACAGCAAGAAGCCAGCAAACTTGTTAGACAATATGTGGAAGTCATCTTATTTTACACTCAGAACTGGATAACCTCTAGCTTTTGCACTACTCAAAATAACATTTTCCTTTAATTTGTCTTCTCAGAACCATGTATGGTTTATAAATGTTGTGGTGGTTCTCCCTTGCTCAGCTCTGTTGAAATGCACTATAAGTCAGCAGGGAGGAACAAGGAAGTGGAACCAGCATCTCACGACCCTCTGGACCTCTGCTAATCAAGCATGGTTTAGGTTGCAAGACAACAGATGACCAAGTCAGAAAATGAAATTATCTAACACGAAATAGCCTATCTGTGCTGCACTTACACTTCTTGCATGTGCCAAGGCATACATCCTTTCATCAACCAGCCATTCCTAGGCCAACGGTGTATCTGCAGGCTATGCTTTGGCAAACAGCCAGTCTAGAAGCATCTTATGGAAAGATAATTGCACCATCTGAGTACAAGGACTAGATTAGCTTCTGAACTTACTGGTGCTTGCTACATACAAGGAAAATCAGCCGTGGAGCAGAGAGCAGCTGAGAGAGGTTCAACTTGCAGAACAAGGACACTTCATACAGACAGAGCTAAAACTCTGTAACATTACAGTCACTTCACAGAAGTAGTGAGATCCTAAAGAGCATTAAGCACAAAATTGCAAGCACCAGAACTATCTCCTCCCTAAACAAGAAGTGTAAACTAAGTCAAGCCAGAGCGAACCGCCACAAATTAAATCATATCTCACATCACATGCATGAAGGGATGGAACACCTGCAATTCTTTAGAGCAGTCTTTGAGATTAAAACACCACCATGCTGTTCCATACAAACCGTGTTTGGTGTGCAAAAATCTTCATTAAAGAGGTAACTATGAAACTTAATACACATTAAAGCTTGATATTACAGTCAAGAAATGACAGTTATAAATCCCCTGCACAATCTTAACTGACAACGGCCTAATAATATAACTACACAATACTACTCAAATACAGACTATTTTAGTGACATTGGGTATTTAAGCTCTAAAAGTTTCTCTGACATTTTCTAGTAGGAAAAAAAAAGGCAGTTAGGGCCTGCAAGATGTTGACCTATCAGTTGTTTACTCCTGGTTTGTATAGCCCATTCCATCAGTCACCATGGAACTAGTATCTAGTGGCTCACGGTCAAAAAGCCTCCAGGATTAAAAGAAAGTCTTTTATAGATTTTCTGTATCAAATTTTTTTCCATCACATTTCTATGGTGTAATTTAGTTAATCACATACTTTACAAATATAGCTATCATAAGCTGTTCTGGATGTGAAGCACAGTCCTTTTTCAGAGATATCAAGTTAAAATAAATCAATGCCATTCAGCACTTGAAAAGTTTTCTTCAACAGAAGTTAAATATCAGCTACTCTTAAAAGCTAATATTACTGAGCTAAAATGAAATGGCAACTTTTTGCACCTTACTGGTAAGTTTCTTTGTAATTGAAGAAAAATAGGTTTCTTTTGGAAAATCAAAAATAACTGTATCTATTTCCTATCAAAATCAACCCTTGGGTACACAAAAGAGGAGCAACAAAAGATGAGCAACAAAGACACATGAAAGCCTTAGTAAGACCAGATTCCACCACTCTTGCTAAGTTCGAATAAAGTCAGAAATACTAAATGATTGTATGATAAACGTACACGGCAAAACACTGACGGTGTTCTTGTACACCCTCCAGAGGTTAGAATACATCACGTACCAATAATAATAAACCCCATTTAGGCTAACACTAAACTACAAAAGCATCAAAATGACAGTATTTAGTCTTTGGTACTTTCGAACGTCATATAAACTATAATAAAACAGAGATATATAAATGTTTCTCTAAGTGTACACAAAAGGAAAAAGCTAACAGTAGCTTGCTAAAGATGAGTTCCGAGAGACTGATCACTGGATTCATGGGAGGCCTAACACTGTCCCAGGCTAAAAGCAGTACAGCAGTCTACTGGTAAAAGGTAAAATGGAAGTGGTAAGGGTCAACAAATTGAGAAGCTGAAGATTTCTACTGTGGTGAAGTTTAGGAACATCAGTTTCAAATGAAGAGTATCTCACTGAACAAAGAACTGTACGAGTACAGAAAAAGGGTGAATGCCAATACCAGAAACTGTACACATTTTTAAATTTGAGTCAGATCTTTGGCACTGTTTGCAGTATCTGTATTGTACCATTTGATGATGAATTTGCATTTTCGTGAATAATCATCACCACCCTCCTCAATCTCAGCTACTTAAAGATGACCAGGTGAAAGTTCAGTAGTAACTGCAACTTCTGAAAAATACCTAGAAATTATGGACTTAAGAAATAAAAATATATACCAGTTTGCATATCTCTAATCATTACTTAAGTCACTGATGCATATTATAACTCTTCTCTGTCCCCTTCTCAGGCAGACAATCTCTTGGATACTTTTCCATCACGACCAGATGGAAAAGACAACCACTATGATTTTATACAAGAGCAAGGCCTCTACTGAAGATAAAAGTTGTGCCTTCAAGACAAAGCCACATTCAAAATACTTTTACTAGCTCAGGTATCAAAAACCACTTAGCTGTGTTAATAGTACGCCACCCGAGCTTCTTAGCAGGGCTGTGCTGAAAACTACACTGCCCCTTGCAAAGTACTTGCTCACCTATCAAAAGCAATTACTTACTTCAGCTCCTTCTGTATCACGCTCTATAAAGAGACTTCGAGGGATGCAATTTCTCTGTTTCCACCAGCCTCCCTTGTGCACTAAACTCTTTCACCAATTGTGATTTGCCACACTGACATTTAAGCATAACTAATGATGGTAGACCACATTAAGTCCTTCAATAAGTCATTAGCATTTCCATATGCAGCCCATCAAATATTTATCACTATACAGTCGAACACAAGGCTTCCACACTGCACACGGTCATCACAGAAGAAAGTGCACCAAAATTTCAGAACTTACCGTTTCAAAGCTGCCTTTGTGCATCAGATCAATGGGAGGTCTGAAGAGATCTGCTAGAGTAGTGAGTTTCTTATCTACTGCCCCTCCGTTTCGTAGCTCCTGCTCCTGTCGAACTGCACAGCCCCAGAGGAAAGGAAGCTAAATTAGACAAAATACTCACAAGATGGGTTTATTATTTGCTGTATGTCATACACTTTCGCACTGAAGTCACAAGGTCAGATCCCACTGAACAAGATTAGCTGCTATGTAAGGGAAGAACCCCACCTGCCCTAACTTTCTCAAGCACTGGGCATTTATTTTGCTTTTAAAAATCATCTTAATGAATGTATCAGCAAAGGTCATATGCCAGTATTTGAAAACAAATGAGCAAAAAAGCAGCCATGACTTATACTACTGTCTCTTTCAGGTGAACAGATTTTCAGCCTTGTTTACCCCCAAGTACCATGCTTTGAGCATGTTTCTTTTAGTGCTATCGATTCCATTCAAAATAATACAGAACATATTTCCTACATAGACATGACCATATACAATAAAAGTAAATCATAGCAATTGCTCACCTAAAAATGAATGGATACGATGTATTTTATATGGAACCAAGACAGCTGAAATGTGCAATAACTATCACACAACCACAAGCCTTACAGCAGTGAAAGGAGCTGTCAACAGGCTATAACATACAACCCATTTTTGAGCAGACTCTGGATTCCACAGAGAAAAAAGCATCTCTGTGAAGGAGGCCTAGGGCCAGGAAATAATCTGGACTTTCAAGGCCAGGGCCACTTTTCCAGAGCTTGCCAGTGATATTTATCTATGAAGCTTTACCAAAAGGCATGATAAACTTTTATCATAAGCACATATTGTGCATCTCTAAATGAGTGGAGATGATAAGAAAAGAATCTAAGGGTATGACGATTCTGTAAATGGTGTATTTTCATTAACACAACTGCCAGTGGCTTTAGCACTTGCAGAGTTTATTATTACCAGAAAACCCTAGGCAAACTTGTCAGGGGAAAGCAAGTAATTATGAACACTTATTTTCAGTTCGGCATTCAACAGCACCTAACTACATGGGAACCTGGTCCACGGTTAGACCTCTTGAACACTCCAGCAACATCAGTGACAGCAACTGCACAACAGCTCTAACTCATCTGTGAAATGTCTGCTCTGCTGTCAAAGAATCATACTCTGTGAAGCTTAATGGCTTAAGTAACAGCTCAGTGCTTTGTCATTTGAAGATTCTACATATGAACAGACAGTGGTAAACAGCAATTAAATTCATGAGAACCTTGTGTGTGGCCAAGGTAGCTGCCTCAGAGTTACTCAAATCTAATTCAAATGCCAGAATGACCACTGGCTAGCCAAGAAAAATTTAGTAAATGAACTTGATTTCTACATGGGTGTTAGATTATTCCCCCTTTTCAGTTCTCTCTAGAGCAGAAACATAAATGTGCTCAGAGTTGTCAAGAAAATATCTGCTATACCAAAGCAGCCAGAATATACTGTCTGTAGGCTTTAGTTATGTAACACAGGAAAGTGTTTGGACCAGCACCCTTACTACCTGCTTCATGTGTCCATTACTCTCAACCACCCCAGAACAAAAATCTAACAACTTTAACTGTACAACAAATGTGGAAGAGGCACATCAGCAAACAGTACTGACACTACAACAGTGAACAGCCTAACAGTTACTAGAAAACCCCACTCTTTTGCTATACAGTAGGCAATTTAAAAAAACACATTCAACAACTGAAAGCTGTCCTAACATAAAATGGAAAGGATTTTCCACTCTTATTTGCATTAAAAAAAACCCAAACTCTAGCTTACTAATCTGTAGACACTTACTGGTTTCTGTCTGAAAATCCCGAAAGCCATCAAATATTGAGCGCGCAGGTCTGCGTCTTTTAGGAGCTTAAAAAAACATATTGCAAGAGTTATTTCAGAAGTATATTATCAAAATAACTGCACATTAGTACTTCTCATCACGTGTGGGAGAATGGAAGAGGAACCCAAAGCATGAATGATGAGGGAGCAGGGTCATTAACAAGGGTGGGAGGAGGATGGAAATGGGTTTATAACACCCATGTCCTAACATACCCTCCCTCCAACAAACTTCACCGCAGAAACAAAACATGTATCAACAATACACTCAAGTTTAAATTCAGCCCTTTCTGATGGGCTCACCAAGGCCCATCAGAATCACAGCATCAATATGTCACAATTCCTGTCAAGATTTTTTAGCAAAGACCTTAAAGTAGATGAAAAAAAAAAAAAACTTTGAAAGATTAAACCCTGTGGGATATATTCTTTATGAGGAAATGCATTTGTTTTTTTTCCACAGCATGCTCCTACTCTTTACAAAACTCTTATCTGGATCCTGTCCCAACTTCTTGGCTTGACTGGCAACAGCCACACTCCACTGAATCCAGGATCACTATCTGCAAAGAAACCTTCAGAACTGCAGCTGCACAGACAGAGTAGAGTGGCCTAGGAAGATAACTGGAATAGTACCTAAATGTATCACTGAAGTCCTTCCGTATAACACAACCACTGCACTTGGAATGCAAACAGAACTGCCTGCCAGGTCTTATTCCAACTATTCATCTGCATCACTATCAACTGAAAGGAGAAGAATTTTAAGGTAGAACTTTCAAAGACATAATAAGTGAGACACAATAACTAATAAATTTAAGACAAATACAGTGTGTGCCCACCAGAAACCTGTAGTAAGAAAAATCCATTTAGAGTGAGAAAGCATGACCTACACATGGGTTACAAAGCAAGTACCTCCAAAACTTGATTTTAGAGACCCTTCTGGTTTTGCACCCATAGTGTGTGCAGCATCTTTCAGCTTGTGCCACTCCAAGGGCATAAAGAATGGTGCACAGTTCTTGCTCCTTGCATTCTTCCTTTACAAAGGAAAGAATCAGTGTATCCCATACAGACTATCATGGAAAAAGAAAGTAAGCCTGAATGAGGAACATGCTTGTGAATAACGCCTAACTCCTGTTAGTATCAACTCTAAATGCTTAGGCACAAGCACAACTCATTAAATCCAACTTTGGAGCAACTTAAAACAGCAGCTAAGAATAGCAACTGAAGAACCACTTCAGCAAAAGCAGCACTTCCGTTGCCAGGCTTAGCTAGAGCATGGCAGTGCTGCTGAAGATGTTCACAGCAGTTCAGGCAGCTCAGACAACCACCTGAACATGATACAGAAACAGGCACATCCCCTGCACTTAGAGCTGAAAAGACAAAGTGAACTGCCTTTCCAGTTTCAGCTAGCTTGTTATAAACACAAGTGCCATTACTGAGCATATTAGCACTGATAGACCAGACGGTGCCAGGAGGCTCTCACTTATGTAAAGATCACTTCAGTTGGGTGGCGAGTGTGTCAGAGATCACTGTGACAGGTGGGTAGAACAGGACCAAGCATTAGGGTCATCAGATCTTAATCCTTCACTTCTTAGATTCCTGAACCCACAGGAGTATAAAGACCTTTGTCAAAAGGTCTGTTGGACCACAGGAACAAGTGCGCTGTCTTTAGAGAGCCCTCAGCAGGGCACCTTCCTCTGGAACCACCTCTCAGTCTGTGCATCTCAGCTAAAGACCCGTCTCATGTTGAAAAAAAAATATAAGAGAAAACCAGTTCCAGGGTAAACCTGAAGCTTGGCCTCCTCCATTCTAGCACAGGAACTGAACAATAGAAAAGAACATTTCCTACAGTTATGAGACCACTTTAAATATGAGCGCTTGCATGCCTTTCCTTGATAAAAAGGGCAAGGCTCTAAATTCACTTGGCATGGCAAAAACCACACAGGCAGAAATGGACATGAGAAGGATAAGGCCAGAGGAAGAAAGCATAGAAAAAGAGCCCCTTAGATATCCATACAGACATTATACAAAAGGAGAGGATAATGTACCAGGTAATCAGTCCTGCTACAGAACCTCCACCCCCATGCTTCTGTAAAAGAACCACCACAGCACAGGTCTGAGATTGAGGTTTTGGGATTCAGAACATTAGTGTATTACCACAAGCACTAAACAGTGTTTTAGATAAGCACCCAAAAAGAAAACAGCATTTCTATCACCTGGTCCCTTAGAGGGGAAGGAAAAAAAAACAACTGCAAAAGCAAAAGTGATAAACAGTTCCAGAAAACAAGAAAACTAGCTGCATGATGCACTTTGAAGAGCAAATTAAATTCCTAAATGAGGAATGAAGAAAATTATGACTAATCATACAGTTCAGCCCTTTTTCCTGAATTATCATCTCCCTGAGAAGCATGCATTTGTCCTCTTCATTTTCACCTGTCAGTCAAGGCTCAGTTGTTTATCCCACCAGCTTGAAAACACTTTCACAGCAGTATCACATGGTTCTGAACCATAGAACACAGATGTAGACTTGCACAGCTGTAGCCTCATAAAGTCCCATGAAACAGGAGTTTGCAGATTTGTACCACTGGGAATGCAGCATCTCTGATGTGTAAGGTTTTCAGTAACACTGGTGTTACTTCCAAGAAGGCAATCATGTTACATGGCTGCAGAGTTGCAGCAAGGAAAAGAACAAGAATAAAAACACATCAATGCTTTCTTCATATTCAGGAAGTTCTGGTCTTCTTCTGTCACTTAGCTCATCTCAAGGCAGAGAGAAGAAACAAACAAACAAGAGCATAAGCCTACCTCCAAACAAGGGCTCAGGCTCTACTAAAATTTCCTGTTTTTGAGGAATTGGAGCTCGTACTTCATCCCTGTGAAGTGGGAAGAAAAAAAACAAATTTAAAAAAATCAGAAAGATTACAATACTCCAAGCACATAAACCACATCCCATTGTACTCAAAAGGGTCCTGCAACTTGAACTGGCTAAGGATGCTGCTGTACCACTGCACAGAATCAAAAGTTCTGATGTCAAAAGGGACCAGGCTTTGTCAATTTATTATTTAAACATTTTTAATTCTTTAAGAACTTAGCAAAGGCTGCTAATTGATCCACTTGCCACCTTCTTCCCTGATTATCTACATAGAGAAAAAAAAATATATTATCTTCCTTATTACCAGCTTCCTTCTAAAATTTTTTGCTTCCACTTGAAACTCACAGCCCTCTCTTTTCCAGAGAAAGGAAAAGAGGATGGTCAAAACAGACATTTCCCCACATTTCTGAAGCAATTTTTGCTTACACAGCTGGGGTGCCTCACATATCAACAGCTTAGTTAGGCCTGCAGAGACTGCTAGATGATCTGAAATTAAGAATAGGAGAAGAAAGAAAATCACAAGGGCTCCAAAACAGTTTCACTTACTCAGGGTGGTCACTAAGCCCATGGAACTACGCAAAGGAGGGCATGGATCACCCAAAGAAATCCATTTGCTTTATCCTGTTTATGAGCTAACTCTTGAAGCGCCCTCTTCCCTCAGATTCTTTGAAATTGTAAAGTGTGCAGTTTGTGGCTCCTGACCATATGGGTTTTGAAGAGTAGGTCAGACTGATGTTAAGACACTGACACAGGTTTTGTAGTTGCTTATTTCTCTGCATAGCAGTGTACACAATCTAGCCTTTCCAGCGCCAAATCTGGTTACACTTAAACCAACACCATAAAACCCTTATAAGTGGGACTAAGGTCATTACTTTAATAAGAAACAAAACAGAACTCTTTAACTGACAAATTAATGTAAAGCAAGATCGTTGGAGCAATTTAAAAGTAAGAATATCTTGCTACTGGATCTCCAACTTCTATGTCTTGAGCTCTGTCTGCAAAAAAAGAGTATGTATAAACCACAGAAAACTTCTGAAGTAATGAAAGAGAGACTAACTTATGTTAGTCAACATACCAACTTAACGTAGTAAGAACCTGTTTACCCAGAACAATATCAGAGCAATTAAATGTAACAAGATATCAAAGCAGCACATATTACATGAGTTGACAGAAGGTTAGAAATGGCAACTGCCTTATTTTTTTCTGCCTTACACTATTAAATTCTTAAGACAGAATAATCATTTTTATAGACAGGTTCACCAGGTACATACTCAGTGTGTGGTCGAACAGCAGACACCCCTGCAGAACTGGTGCTAGGCTCCTCTGCTATGCCTCCACCATCCAGAAACATGGTGACAGCCATCTCCAGATTATTGTTGCATGCTTCAAGCATATGCTTTCCCACACTTTCACTAGCACCTGTAATGATGGAAGTAAAAATTGAGCATTCTTTGGAAAACATTTTGCTTGGAAGTGCTAGGAGCAGCAGAGCAGCAAGCTTTCTCTCTCAAAGCATTAATAATTAGAAAGAACAGTTTATTAGTCGCCATTTATCTCTGAAGTACAATTATGACATGAGACAAACTTATCTCACAGCAGAAGGGAATGCCTGCATGTAGGACAGGCAGACTTTTTCCTGCCATCAAGAGAAAACTTACTGAAAGCCATCTGAGGGGGTTCAGAATTGGTTTCCTTTCTTTCTAGATATCAGACCTTTTTCAGTTGAATCAGACCTGGTTCAATTTTCCAAACACCAGCAGGCAAACACACAAAACCCATGAAAACCTGACTTCACATTTTAACAGGGTGAATACTATACCTGCTACTAAAGTGTTTTTTACCCACTTAGACATTTTGAGATGGAAGAAAAGATACTCTGTTTTACTGATTGCACTGAAAGACAAAAACAAGCTAAAGCTCAGTCCACAGAGGGCTGAGAGTAGGAACAGAGGGGAGCCAAGAGGGAGAAAGCAGTACTTGTCTACACAATTATTTGTATAATGACTAACATTTATTAAAATCTCTCCAAAGTACACCTAAATCTATCTTACTCTTGCTGTTCAGAATGTAGTTCTTAACATCACCTGTAACTCCTTCCCGAGAAGAAGTTAGAGCCTCTACCTCCCAACTTCTCAAAAACCATACCATCAACAGAAGCACTCTCATCAGTGGAAGCTTTCCTGCACCCAGCCCCTTAAATGTCTACTTACTGCAGCATCTCCCTCTATAGGCAGTGGGGCTGCCGAAGAGTTTATTTTCATATGGGAAGGCTGGTAGAGAGGAAGAGTGGCAAAATGCAGCTGAACCAGTTTGGGAGCAGCTTTTAGACCTGTAGAAGTTCTTACTAGGTTCACTGCAAGTCACCAAAATGAAGAAAACACTTTCTCCACCATCAGAGTCACAGATAACATCACTCTTAGCAAAACACATTTGGATGTTTCTATGATTTTTCTTAGAAACACTCAAGAAGCTCCAGTTTGAACAGAAAATACCCTAGGAAACTGTTGAGATAAATCAGTTCTAAATGACAGAAATTACCCTAAACTACAGAGAAAGCCAAACTGATTGAGTGAACTGGTTTCCAGAAAACCTAATCAGCCTTGCCATGGCTCAGGTGACAGCTGTATTTGAAGATCTTAATCGAGATGACAAAAGCACAAAATAAAAACTAGTAACATCTCAAGAAACTATTTTCAGCTCATTTCAATGTCAACTGTAGCAATTAAACAATATTGGCATATAGCTATTATATGCACAGCACCCTACACCCTCAATATACAGTCAGTAATGCAAAGTCATTAATTTAGAAGAGCTAGAAGAAAAATTACACGCAGCCCTCTGCTGTTTAGAGATACCAACACAGAAAGTGCTTGTACTTGTTCCTCATAACTCCTAAGGAAACTGCCATCGTATGCATGATTTCAGTGCCTATGCCAGCAAACAGGAGATACTAAATATTTCTTAAGTCTCAAATCAAACTTCAAAGACATCCCATCATTCCACCAGAAAAGATACACAGGAGCTACATTCTCTTAGCAATACTTTTCTGGATGAGAGCACCAAAGAAACACAATTCTGCCATCTAGTTAAGATAAATATATCAAGAACTATTTCTACTTATAACTATCACCTACATGAGAATCAAACTGCTGTATATTCAGCTTTTTTCACCACAGACAAGGAGGAATTTATATACTTACAACTCTAAGTTGAAAGCTGCTAACACAAACCACTGAGCTTTTGAGCACCTGTCAAATCATGCCACTACCAGCAAGATAAGCTCCACACAACACACTTTCAGATATATCCTTAATTCTGTTAAAATGGAAAAACAAAACTCCAAAACTCTAATAGTGGATGGGTAAAGCCCAGCAAGTTTTGTTGTTTTTTTTTTTTTCTTTTGTGAAAGCAGAAAGGTAGGGTCCTCTTATGTTTGGTATAAACCATCCATACAAGCACAGAAAGCCATCAGGAAGGGTAAACTATCATGACTCTTCCTGTTCCAGATCAGTTTTTAGCAAGTATCTCAGGCACTACCAAAAGAAACCACAAGGCACACATGGGCACTACAATGAAAAGGTATTTGCTGTAGGTTCTTTTTGTTCAGAGTTTATTCTAAAAGGCTTCTTTAAGGACAGCTGAGTGATTAATAATTTCCAGTTGACACAGGATGTTCACAGCGTACTAAACAGCCTCAACATCTCTGTTCAGGATTTAAGTGCATCCAAGCCCGAGTACAAGGACACAACCCAAAATTAAGCTGGTTAAACAATTTAAAAACAGTTTCATGTAAATCAAAGAAAAAAAAACCAAACCACCCCCCCCCAAAACCAAACCAAACAAAAAAAACCCAAAGAAAACAACACAAAATGCCAAAGATGTTTTATTAAACACTCCTTTAGTATTTGATACGCAGTGCCATAAGCAAGGGGGAACTATAGTGAAGCCGGTTAAACACAAAGTGGGTCAACCGCTCATAGTCCGCAAGCCAAAGCAGCAATGATCACCTGACGCAAACTTCAATTTAAAAGTGACTAGATGTTTTCCTTGGAAAACTAACATAAAACTTCTCAGTAACCTGATCGCATTTTAAGACTGATTTATTTTTATAGTTTTTAACGCGGACTCAGCGGTCAGCTCCAGGCTCCCTCCCGGCCGTCAGCTTTATTTGCAGAGGCGGGACGCGATTCCCGGGGCGGAACGGACCGCATCGCCGGGAGGGAAGGAGAACGTGCACCCGCACCCGCACCACCGAGTAGCTCGGCATACCAAACACCCCAGGCCGCCGCTAAAAGCGAGGGCGACACGACGACACACAGGGCGGAGGCACCGCGGTTGCCCGGCTCGGGCACCTACCGCCGCGGCGAGCCGGGCCCCGGAGCGAGCCCGCTGACAGGCCCGGGCGTCACCAGCCCCCTCGCCCCGAGGGAGGCCGCGGCGGTGGCGGGCAGACCCCCAAGAGACGGGCGGGAGCGTGCCCGGGGCCGCCCGCCCGCGCTGCTCCGCCTCGCCCGACGCAGCGCCTCACGCCATGACCCGCTCCTCCCGTCCGGCCTCCCGCCCCCGGCCCAACGGGGCAGCCGCCCCCTGACGCGGCGACTGGGGCCGGACGGAGGCCGCCCGTTAAGCACGCAGCGGCGGCGGCAGTCACGGCCGCGGATCAGCGGGCCCCGGCTTCCGTGTGCCTCACCCGTGATGGCGGTGAACTGCTGGATTAACCCCTTCAGCGCCGAGGAGGCCGCAGAGCCCCCGTGCGCCGCCATCTTGCCGCCGCCGCACAACAACACGCACGCCGCCAGCCCGCACCCTCTGCGCAGGCGCGACACCCGCCCGCGCCCTTCCCCTGCCCGCCGCCGCGGAGGCGCCTCTCCGGGAGGGGCGGGAGTTACCGCGGCAACGCGGCCAGACCCGCCCTGTTGCCTCAACAGCCCCGGGAGGAGGCAGTTGCCCTGGCAACGCGGCCCGCCCCGCCGTCTCAGCGGCTTTTCAAATGCTGCCGCGGCTCGGCGCGAACTTCCGCCGCGTTGAACGCCGCGAGTTCATCGTACACGGGATTCCTTCACTTGATGATGGGTGATGAGAAGCTCACCATGACCCGTCAGTGTGCGCTCGCAGCCCAGAAACCAACCGTGTTCTGGGCTGCATCAAAAGGAGTGTGACCAGCAGGTTGAGTCTCCCCCGCTAATCTGTTCTGGTGAGACCCCGCCTGCAGCCCTGCGTCCAGCTCTGGGTGCAGCAACATAAGAGGGACGTGGAGCTGCTCTAGTCCAGAAGAGGCCACAAAGATGCTCCAGGGGTTGGAGCACCTCTGCCATGGAGACCGTCTGAGAGAGCTGGGCTTGTTCAGCCTGGAGAACAGACGGCTCCAGAGACACCTTAGAGCAGCTTCCAGTGCCTAAAGGGGCTGACAAGAAACCTGGGGAGAGACTTTTTACAAGGACATGTAGTGACAGAACAAGGGGAAAGGCTTTGAGCTCAAAGAGCAAAAATTTAGATTAGCCATTAGGAAGAAGTGAGGGTGGTGAGGCCCTGGCACAGGTTGTCCAGAGAAGCTGTGGCTGCCCCATCCTTGGAAGTGTTCAAAGGTTGAACCTGGTATAGTGGAAGGTGTCCCTGCCCATAGCAGAGGTTTGGAACTGGATGAGCTTTAAAGTTTCTTCCAACCCAAACCAAACAGTGATACTGAAATGCTCCATGAGGAAACATCTAAAAGGACAAGCCAAAGAGGTACTTGGTGAGGATTATTATGTCACACACGCAGTGAGGAATGTGGTTATCTTTGCGAGCCAAAAGCTTGCAGCAACCCACCTCAGATGAGGCTGCTGGTATAGATCATAGGTTTTGTACACTTTGAAGTTATAGTTGGGTTTTAGTTAATGTTTAACTTTAACTTTGCTTTTTTTCCATTCTACTTAATAAAAACAATGATTCTTAAGTAAGACATCATTCTTACACTGAGGACAAAATCCAGTAAGATGGAAAAACACACCATTGTATATATACACACACACCCCAAAATACACTCCTGTACTATTTAGAACTTTGAAATGACTAATTTATGTAATTTATTTATTGTCAATGGAATCACAGCAGCAGGATTTGCTATCAATGGCAAGAACTTAAGTCTGTGCAAGACCAAAGAGTAAAATGCAAAAAGCCTAAGAGGGCCAGCATTCCAGCAGGACTGCCAGGACCATAGAAACAAAGTGTTTAAAGCTGCAGAGACAGCTGCATGAGGCACGCTCATCAGGTGGCTGCAGGGGCGACATTGCATGGGAAGAGACCAGGAACTACCCTGCACCTCTCCAAATCATTCCCAATCTGCTCTGAAATCCTGAACAACCTATTACACCCATCAGCAATAACTCTCAGAAGCAGTGCCAGAGCAGGTACCATCTTTTGAGCAAGTTAAAACTACTGATTAGACTTCAGAAACTGATTGTAAACCAAAGCTGAACAGACTTAAAAAATGCTTTCTCCTCATATATTTTGAAAATGGAGAGTTTACTTCTTAGGTGCTTATCATGACTGGAAAGAACAAGTGTCACTAGCATGAAAACAGTCACTACCTCTGCCTTAAAGAATATTTTAATTAATGATTGTATTTGACTACATGGGTAAGACAGCAAACAACCCGAACAAAGGTAAAGATTAAACAGAAACAGATCTATACGGCTTCCAGCACAACAGTTGAGGCAGGAAGAGGCAAACTGAATGACTTGCAGCTGGTCTCCAGTTGTAACTTTCTCAAAAACCGTATCAGAACACATCATTCCTTTATGAGAAACCCTCCCATTACTAGAGACACGCAGGCAAAGAAACAGCACAATTCACAATTTTGCTTGATGTGCTATTTGTGCTTTCAATGAGATTTCAGGATTTGTTGGTTTTTAAAACTTAAAACATCAGAAGATACTGCTGTCAAGGATTTTGTTACCGATTTCCCAGAACCAAGTTAAAGATCATCACCTCTACAGAGGTTCAAAAAAAGAACACATTTAAAACATTTGCTAACATTGGTGACTAGCACAAACACTTCAGCAATGCAGTTGTAGTTTGCCGTCTTTTAAACATGGAAAGGGGAAAAGTATCTCATTACAAGCAAAGAAAGTTCAAACGATGTCTTTATAATAGCAACAGATAAAACAATCGAGCAAGAATACTTCTGCTGAGTAGCAGCTGGTCAAGCTCTTCACCAGCCTCAACCTCCTCCATGCCTCAGCTTCCCCACAACTCTAAGCGGTAATTCATTTGAATTGCGTTCCAGCCAGGCATGGTAGTTATGTGACTCTTTAATTACAGTTATGTCATTTCTGACAACTTCAGCTGCTGCTCCCCCTTTTGGTTTAACTTTCTCCATCATAACTGTCTTCTGAACTACATTTTTGTAATATTATGCATTTTTAATCAAACTCAAAACAGTTTGAGTATAAAAATTAAATAGCACTAAATATAGGTAATACTACTGTACAAGAATAAAGCTGCAGAACACTAGCAGTAAGACAACAAAAGTATCTTTTCCTAATGACAGTAAGTGCCAGATTTGCGTAAGTGACCTCTAGAAACAGAGGCAAATATAAGCCCATAACCACTTATACTGTTGGCATTTATGAAAAATCCTTGGCTTTGGCAGTGGGGGAGTGACCTGTTTTTTTTCCTCTTTCCCTAAGAAAGAGGAATGAGAACTTTCTCTAAGAAAGTGTATGAAAACTGTACCTGCAAGACTGGCTGTCCAGGTGTACTCTTGTTACCTGTTGTGTGAACAATGCCATTCAACAAATAGCCTAAATTCCAGTAACATGCTTCAATTAAACAGACCAGTGGTTGTATTGACTGAAGCTTCAACCTTGCAGCTGGCAGACAACTGGAAATACAGACTCATTTTTTAGCTTTAGCTTAACCTCTGTGGAACATGCGTCCTTTCCACAAAAGGCTCCAAACTCTCATTTTAAGATCAGACCATCAGTTATTTTTGTTTTTAAACACTAACAATATTCACATTCAAAATTATGTAAATGTAACTGCTAGAAAATAAGCTGCAGTCAAGAAAAGAACAATTACATTTTTTTAAAGACTGGAGGCGTAAATTATTAAAACTCCTCAAAATACAGAACTCTCTGTGGCCTAAAGTGATCCCCCCCCCAAACCAACAATTTTACAACTGTTCACAGGAAGCCTTGCCCAACACAGGAGAAAGCATTACCACAGCTTTAATTCTCATTCCACAACGTGCCTGTGGTTCTGCTGATCTACTCTGCTACAGGGCTTTTAAACATCTGAAGGATCGTCTTTTGTTTATTCTTAGGTAGTGAACAAATATCATTTGCATCATTGGTATTAACCACACAATTCAACACCTTTCCTCCCTTGATGCTGGGTGACTTCATCCGGGCTCTGGCAGGTGACTGCCAATTTTCATTGCAAGAACCTCTGCGAGTTTTGCGGTGATTTGTTTCAGCCTGTTTTTTTGATACCTTTGAGTCTTTTGCCACCTTAGAACTTCCCTTTCTAGCAGGAGAGTCTTTCATCAACTGAGGTGGTTTGGTGCGAAGCAGATACTGATCTGGAGAGCCCTTTTGTCGATTAAGTGTCCTTTCCTCCTTGTTAATCTGTTTTTGCAGCTGCAGAGCCAGAAGCCTGTCCTGCTCCTCTTGCATACGTCTTTCATAGATCTCCTGCTCAAAGGCTTTCTGCATTTGCAAGTTAAAATCATTTATCTGCTTCTCTTGCTCCTCCAGACTTTCTGGAAAAGTTCTTCTTCTCTTATCAAGCACACAAAAGTCAACCACTTGTTCAGCTGGTGGCTCCAACAACTTTCTTTTTGGAGTCTTCTTAGTGTTCTGCAGGCTCTCTGGCTTCTCTTCATCTGAGTGTCTAGCCACCTTCATAAGGTCACATACCACACTTGTGCTGTCAGACACCACAGAATTTGCTGCTAACTGAATACAGGTATGAGCTCCAGCAGCATTTTTAAGGTTTATGCTTTCTACGTGTGTTAAACTGCCACTGTCTGAGTCACCTCCATCACTTTCTCCTTTAGATCTAAGAACTGTTCCAGAGCCTTCCCTTTCTGTGATTCCATGCAACGCATCTGGAATTTCTTCTCCTACACAATTTGTTCCTGGTGTTTCTTCCTGCTTGACAGCAGCAGTTTCCCCCGAAGCCGAGGTACTGAAATAGTTCATGCACGATTCCAAAAATGAATCCATAGCACTGGAATCTTTATTGACACCGGTCAGCTGTGGAGACAACGTTGGCATTTCCTCTTGCTCATCTTGCCATGCTGAACTGCTGCCTTCATTGCCATTGGTCTCCTGAAAAAAAGGGAGAGACCACTAACAAAATAAATTTAGCAAAAGCCAATGGGTATGAATAAAATGCAACTCTCACTTCTCACCGCTGTGTTGTTCATAACTACTCTGGGGTATTAACTTGGATTCTTCTCTTAAAAAAAAACAACCATAATTAATGTATTATTATAAAAATACATAATTAATGTATATTATTATAAAGAAAATATTGAAGAAAAGCTACAGAAGTCCAGCTAAAGGACTGAAAACACAACTGCCGCATTCTCCTCTCATCAATGACTTAAATCAACTATTCAAGCCTGCTCATCATCTTTTGAAGCCAAACAGGACAGCTAAGGCAGAGATATGGAATGATGAAAAATCAGAGTGCAACCTCCTCCAGTGAGCTCCAGAACCATCATTCTAGTTTTAGACACCACTGGTTGGAACCAGAGCTCGCTGAAGACATTCAGTTAAGGTGCCTGTAAGGCTATATAGGGTAACCATCAAAGTAAGCCGTAGGTGCACATCTGCAGACTGTCAAGCATGGTTTCTTCCCTTTCCATGTTGAGAAATCTTGAATACTAAAGGTAGTTCAAAAAGAGCAAGATAAACTGGCCAGTGCTGACGTGCCAAGGGAATACAGGATTGCCAATCCTACAGGCAAGGGGAAAGTTAAGCCATAATTATTAACACTGAGATTTCTAACAAAATTATTCTAGTTACCGCAGAGCCAGAGCCACTGCTGCCTCTCTCTCTTGTTCTAAAGAATGATGCTGATCCCAATGTATGATGAAGCTTTGGAGACAGGTACCTTTAAAAGTAAAAAGAAAACACCTTTTAAAACTTTCTTCTTTTCCCCTTGAATTGTCAGCACTTTGCATTAGTTGAGATCTTCTGGTTCATTCTGACAAGCAAAAGAAGAGAAGGCCAAGTGCCATCCTCCTCCATTTTATCCTCTGAGGAGGTGTTTTAACATGCAATGGTTTACATTTACCCCAGATTATCCAGGAAAGTTGGACTACAGGATTCCAAAGAAGCAGATGGAGATAAGGGGCATTATACCAAGAAAAAGACTAATAATTAAAGAGAAAAATTTTAATTGCTTACTTCTGAATGTCTTCAGAGTTGCTTGGTTTGCTCTTTGTTTTGCACAAATTAGCTGGGGACGTTTCAAGTGAGACACTGCCTGCTTGTGCAGGACTGCTGAGCCCATGTCCTTTGGAATCATCATTCTTCAATGACAAAGACAGACAAGATAGTGTTACGTGAAACAAAACACGACACAAACTGGAGAAAAAACAGAAAACTACTTTCTCCTGCAGAATTAGTTACTTTTGTCCAAGGAATTCTACAACTGTAAGTAATGTATCATTATGGAATAAGAAATGATACACGTTCTGTACACTTTCCTGTATCTAGTATTATGGGAGGAGGTTTTCCTCACGTAAATACACAGGTTTCATCATCATATTTTCAGGTAGCAAAACCCAACCAACCAAAATCCCCAAACAAATTAACAAAATAAGAAACAACAAAAAAGCCCAAAACACAAGGTAAACTTTCATCTTTCACTGCACATTTTGCTTTTTTTCAGTACAGGTTACAGACATGAATTTCTTCCAAACAAGTATTTTTAAAATCATGAAGAAAAGGAAGTATTCAGAGGAAAACCAATGTTTCAAAATGTTTCACAATGAAAACATCCAGAGCACATGTTTCAAGTGCATATTACACAGGCAGGAATGTTTTGGGTATTTCACCCTCCTGCTGGTTCTTCAAAAATTAACAATCAATCAATGATCTAAAGTGCCAGGGGCCAACAACAGCTTCCAACTACAATTACAATAAAATTATTTCATTCAAAGTTTTAATTTTTGCTATGAAAAGTCTAAGTTGCTTGCACTGTAGCAATGTTTTCTACTGTCCCCCTTGATCCTAACTCACCAGACTGCTACTCAGCCGCCAGGCCAACTCTTCATCTTGCTTCAGCTGTTTCTCCATCTCCCTTCGCCTCTCTTCTGCCAATCTCTGTTCCTCCTCCTCCTCTGCCAGAAGGCGCTGAATGTATTCCTCACTTGCTTTGTTCTCCTCTTGCTCATGTGCTCGCCTTTCTGCCTCCACCTAAAAAAGTTTTTTCTAAATGCATCTGGTTACTACTGTAGGACCACACTCTACTCCAGAACCCTTCAGCTGATGCTCCTTAAATGTGAACAATGCACTCTTCAAAAAGCCACAGCACACTTCAAAACCAGTATTTAATTACAAATCTCCAAAGATGTAAGAATGAAACTAACACTGTGTGTAAGGTCTTCAGTTTGATAACAGTGACGTACCTTCTGGTTCCTGTAAGACTACACCATTAACCTTGCTCACTTGCAAGGTTAAATTCCATTACCTTTTCAAAATGTTAGTAACAAAATCTAAGATCTCCAAATACATGGGTCTAGAGATGAAATGTGCTTCCTGGTCTGCAGCAGCAGCAGACCAAGAACATTAAATCTACCTTCCTTAAGGCAGACATCCTCTCTTGATAAATCAGTTATCAGTAACTCTATAAGGACACTTAAAGAATGAATAAAGCTTTCTTAACTGGGCCATGGAATTTGGAGATTTGCTTTAGAGAAGAGCATCAAACTGTAATACTATAAAAGCTATGTTAAGTGTGAGTTTGTTAGAAATCATGCATTGATGTCTTATGATTAGCAGCAGACATCACTACTTATTTCACTGATTCTGGGCCCCATCTCCATTAACCATCGGTACTGTTGCTACCAATCAATCTTATCCCCTAACCACCATAAAAGAGAATACCACAGTCCTCTGCTCATAACTTCTGCTCTTGTTACAACCAACAGGGCTGTTAGGAAAAGGAGCATTTTGATGCTATTTCCAACTATAATTCTGCGCTGGGTTCAGTGGTAGCAGTCATTTTTGTCCTTCTTAGTAGCTGGTGCAGTGCTGTGTTTTTGACTTTCAGCCTGAGAACAATGTTGATAACACTGATGTTTTTAGCTGTTGCTCAGTAATGCTTACTCTGACCAAGGACTTTCTGAGTCTCATGCTCTGCCAGGGAGGAGGGGAAGTTGGGAGGAAGCAGAGACAGGACACCTGACCCAAACTAGCCAAAGAGCACAGCACGTCATGCCCAGTATATAAACTGGAAGCAGTTACCTGGAAGGGCTAGATTGCTCCTTGGGTCGGGTTGGGTATTGGTCAGCGGGTTGTGAGCAGTTGTATTCTCTTCCCTTGTTATTTTCCCTATCATTATTATTATTGGTGGCAGCAGTAGTGGTTTTGTGTTATACCTTAGTTACTGGACTGTTCTTATCTCAACCCATGGGAGTTACATTCTTTTGATTCTCCTCCCCATCCCTCCGGGAGGAGGGGGAGGAAGCATGGGGGGAGTAAGCGAGCAGCTGCGTGGTTCTGGGTTGCTGGCTGGGCTTAAACCATGACAAATTCTTACTACTGACATGTCTAAATTGGAAAAAGGATCCTTAAATAGGCAACCATTAAGATTTCTTAAAAAATCTATTCTGATTTTCAAATAAAATTCAGATAAAAAAGGGAGTGATCAAGTAAAAAAAAATAAAGCTAGATATTACTAAAGCTCACCTAATTGTGGTCTGTTACTTAAGGAGGAAAATGAAGCAGTACAAGACCAAAGCCCAAACAATCCAAAATTTTTAATTTGCTAGTACAAAATAAGCTGAGGACCTATAAAAGACATTTTAGTATCTGTCACCAGGATTGAAGATAGTGATAGGTAACGCTCTAACCCTGAAAGAACCCTTCTGCACACAAGGAAGTCTCTCCTCTTCCATAAAGGACAGAAATTTAATTTATACCTCAGGAATGACCAGTGTGTTCTTGCAGCAGCAATGCCCTTTTATATAGCTCTCTTTTTCATTAAATAACATTACAGCCGTTTGTGGGAACAATTAAAATAACTAGACACAAAGCATTTATGCTTTTAAATATATTTTTAGACTTACCTTGCTAATCTCTGCTTCATATTCCTGCCTCAGTTCCCCAGGCTTGCTCAGCTGGTGCTGCGGATGGGGGACACAGACTAATTGAGAGGAAAGAGAGGAAAAAACTAAGCAAGGAACTAAACAAGATCATGACAGTCAACAAGAAAATATTTTAACAAAAGATTATTTCCATACCCTGTCACAGGAATGATGTGACTTACATCAAGTGGTGTGGGAGAAAGCATTGTGTTACAGAACTGCCAGTGCAATTTTCCAAGCACTGCATATGAAGCAAATACATATGCTGGCCATAACTTAAGTCTTTTGATTTTTGCTGCTGAAAGAACTTCTTAATATAGCAAGTGGCACAACTTGTCATAGAGCCAATCTACCAATTAGCCTCCCCCAAGGGAGCTTGCAACGTAACAGCCCCCAAAAATCCTTCTTCAAAGAATTAATCAGATTTCACTTCCTTTTCTCTGACACCACAATTTTAGGCTCAGAGACTCTTGCACAGACTAAAGCCCTATAATTTCTAATCACACTAATTAACAGCATCTAAGAGTGAACAACTTTGAACCACTACATTTATTCTCCAGTAATAAACACACAGGCAAATACTCCACTCACAGATTTTACAGCCAAAGTTGTATCTGTAATGATTTACAGGTTTTGCAAGGCTACGCAGCCACATACCAACACTTTGTGCAGAACACATGAAAAAATATGCACTTAAATGACCAAATATAACTCCCTCTCTGACCTACACATGAAAATAGCACAGGTGCCCATTTCTCTGCCTTGCAAGCACCTTTCACAGGAGAGCTCTGACACTGCATTTGCTAGCATGAACATCTGCACAGCTTCTTGTTTCACAACATCCAAAGTCCACCAACAAACATCCCAGGACAAGTGACATTTTACTTACTTTCCTCTTCCAAATCCTGTCCATTAATCCTACGCTCACACTCCTTCGGGTAATGCTTCTGGATCTTTTCCCAGAGCTCCCAATTGACAAGAGTATTTCTGCGGGCATTATATCGGGCCCAAGAAGAGACTCGACGCCGGCAAAAAGGGCAACAAAGACTGGCTTTTTCAACTGTGAGCTGGAAACAGGAGTTACAGAGGGTATGGTTGCATGGCAGTGTCACGGGCTCTACAAAGATCTCCATGCAGATTGGGCAGAGGCAGTCAGACAAGGAAAGGAGAGACCCTGATTTCTTCGACATACTGGCTTGAAGTAGAGGAACAAGACTAGTACAACATCAGTACCTGAAAGCAAAAAGAAACATGTATTTTACTTCCCATCATGACTATAAAAGAAAACGCTCAGTTTTACAGCTACTTTATGAAAACATTAAAGAAGTCTCCTTACGTGGTTACTTTTGCTCATGATCAGCCTCTGAGAGAAAGAAATCTTTCCAGAAGACATGGAGAAACTGCAGCAGATTTTCCTACCAGTTTCCTATGAGTTGTAACAGATGCTTTGGGGATAGCAAAGAGGCGGTAAGGAGACAGGGGAAAGGTGGTGAGATTTCTTCTAGCATTTACTCTGTACTAGTGACACGCTATTCTCACGTTTGGTGGATCTGTTATCACAGTTACCTTGGCCTTCTGCTCAGTTTTTCAGTACATCAAAAGCTGCTCTGGTACAGACTTGGTTCCAGCACGTTCTGAAGGTGAACTACAACATCCCTGTGCACCACAGGAAAGAGTGATCCTCCTCAATCATTTGCTTAAGCTGAGACTAAAAAGTCAAAATACTTGTTGTTAATATAAGCAAGAAATCAACCAATGCATTCAACACTTCAGCATCTTCTTGTATGAGTTAAAAAGGTGGGGATCATCCAGCCTTCCTATCACTTCTCCCCACAGGACTTTTCCACTTGGCCCAGAAACAGGTGATACAGAAAATAAGAAACACCTATAGCAAAAAAGGATGAAAAAAAAAACCAACAACCTGGTTTTTGGTTGTTTTTTGTTTTTTTGTTTTTTTTTTTTTTTTTTAAAGTTATAGGAACTTAATCAGTTTTTTTAACCTTCTCAGAAACAGCCACCTCCAAAAAGAGCTGAGGTCTTTCTGAGAGAAAGGCTGCAATTTCAGTCACGCAGGAACTCGACATGGAGACAAATACATTTTAATTTGGGTTTTATTGGTTCTGCTTTCCCTTTGTCGATAAAACAAACTCTTAATTTTTTTTAAAATGACATTTTTCCAGGCAGTTTGGTAAAAAGACCCACTAAGTCCATGCGTACCTGCTCTGGGCTCAGCTCGATTAGTACGCAGAACACTGGACGCTTGGCGAAGGCCCTGGACACCCAGCGACGGAGGCAGGGCGGCAGAGCAGCCCCGCGTACCACAGCCGCGGCCCGGCGCACAGGAACAACGCTGCACAGCTAAGGACGAGGCTGGGCTCCCCGCCGGCGGCCGCCTCTCATCCTCCGCACACCCCGGTCCCTGAGCGGTCACGGCAAGGAGTCAGCACCCACCAAGCTGCGGCTCCGCGGCGGGGGCGCGGCGGCAGACAGGGCCGCAGCTTCCTGCAATGGCCGCCGCCGCAGCGCTGTCCACCAACCCGCCGCCCGCTCCGCCCCGTCCCGCGCTGCCAGGCCTCTCCCGCCGCGCTGCCGTTCGCTCCTCCTCCGAGCCGGGCCTGCCGGGAGATAGACACCGAGGGCGCTTCGGTTGAGCAGCCGGCGGGGGGCAGGCGCGCTCCGGAGTGACGGCCCGAGCCGGGGTGACAGCAGTCCTCTGCTACACCCAGCCCGGCGGCGCACTGCGTTTCTGTGTGGAACCGCGGCGTTGAGCATCTACTGTCTGAGCAGGCGTTTCGGCCATAAAGCGTTACCCGCGGGTCTCACTGGAGGGCAGCCTGACGAGAGCCGGCTTCCCCCGTGTGCGGAAAACGAGAGCTGCTCCAGAAGCGAGAGATGGAAAGACTAACTAGCTAAAAATGGGAGCCTTCTGGCCTCCAAGAAAGTAATCGGTGTTAATGAGGTGGTTTGGGTTTTTTTTCCTGCACTTACTGTGGAATAAAGTTATGCAAAGTTAGGCAGGCTTGATGTCCCCACTATCCTGGAAGTGGCGTGGGTTTTAAACCACATAAATATTTCAGAGACTATTGTTAGTTTTGGTTTTTAAAGAAACAGCTATCAAAGGAACTTCAATTTTTCCTCAGATTACCCAGTTCTGCAATAAATAGCAATTTCAGCTGGGAAAGAATCAAAGAATCACAGTTTAAAGCCATTCCCCCTTGTCCTGTTGCTGTCAGAAGTCCTTGTAAAAAGCCTCTCTCCAGATTTCTTGTCAGCCCCTTTAAGCACTGGAAGCTGCTCTAAGGTCTCTCCAAGGCCTTGAAGGATAAAATATGTCAGCACAGGCTGTACAGCCCCATGTTGGAGCCACACCAGCACCACCTGCATGTGCAGGACCAGGACCAACCTGACCCTCCCAGTGCTCACCTCCCCTCTGGTATCCACAGGGCATCCTGGCTCAGCTCCTTCTCCATCATCTTGGCCTGCAGATCAAACTTCTGCGCCAGTGTCTGCAAGCTTGAGTCCAGGTCTGTGAAGAGAGTCTCCAAGGTTTGCAGCTTGGTTTCTACTCTGAGGGATGGAAAACAAGCATGTTTCATGGGTACTTGGGCATCAACGGGTGGCGCTTTCTGCCGTGATGGTGGGTGACACCTATGTTTGCACTGTGAACAGATCCAGATGCCATTCTGAGGCTTCTCTCAAGCTATAAGAGAACATGCACCAGTAGAAATTAAGGGTTTTTTGACACAGACCAAAGGCTTTTTGCCCTTCCCTGGTTCAGAGGTCTTATAATTTGTAAATGCAGATGCAAGATTTGTATGTAGATATGTCTGCAGGTCTCAACCACTTGCATGAACATTAGTTGTGCAGGGTTTTTTCTCAAATTACATTTTGAAGTGATTTATGCTTTTACTTGTGATGTCAGGATCTTTTGAACCATTTCCATCTGACATTGAGCAGAACTTCTCATTCTTCCTCAGATTAAAAATGACACCAATAATAAACAAGCCACCCGCAGTATTTCTCTTCTCCTGTCAGCTCATCCTGCTCTGGTTTTCTATTTTGTAGGACTGTCCTTCCACAATAAAACAGTGTAATAAGACCACCTTAGTAAACCAGCAATAAGAAAACTGCTTCATAGCTGGGATTTGCTGCGCTTTACTCATGGAGTAGGGTGTGTTGGGCTTGTGTCCTTCCAGGGGTGGTTTTTGTGAAGACCATTTTCTTTATGTTAGGCTCTGAGGTGATTTACATCAAGGTGTGTTCTGAAGAATCCTGAGGATCTCAAAGCTATCAACATATGAATCATTCAAAGTTCCTTCCTAAAAACTGAACAAACACCTCAGTACTACATACTTGACAAGTACTAGCAGAGCATCAGCTATTTCTCCTAGACTTCTGTTATTTTTCCTTGCATTTTACCGGCAGAACTTCAGGCTGTATCAGTTAAACAAAAACTATGCCATTGGCTAAATTTTAGTATGAGCAAGGCCCTACATTTTTTTTTTCTGTAGCATCTCTCTCTTCATCCCCAGTTTGCTGCACTGCTTCCACTGCCTCTGTTACTATTATGATTGTATCATGCTAATGTTTACAGAACTGGATTCTGAATTGTGATTACCTGTGTTAAATACCATATTAAGGTCTTTACCTTGTTTGTTGTGCTCCTGTTTCCTTTATCTTTGGCTGAACTTTTTTGCAAGGACAAAATACACAGTAGCTTTCAGGTGATGACGTTAAAAAAATAACAAATAGAGGCTAACTTTAGATAGCATGAGCAGCAGTTTTCCCTTCTTTCATGCACACTCCAAAGTATTTTTAGGTTGTTTTAAGAGAAAGATCAAGAACACTATTACTACACTGTCAGTGCTCCCCTGTCTACCTGCCTTTCTGTTCTGCTTTAGATTCTGTCTGTAGTTGACCCGAATGAGAAGAAAATAAAGAGGCATCAACAGGGGCATAGTTTCCTAAGTCTCCCTGACCTTAATCCATTGTCTGAGTGCAGCTTGTACAGATCTTGTCTAACACTTTCTGGTTGTTTGCTGAGGCGAGGAGACTTCTTTGACAGTCTTGGGAAAGCTGCTTTCATCTTGATCTTACTTTGGAAGAACTTCTCTTGCTTCAGCAAGATGTTTATTGCTCAGAGCCTCCTGTCTCCTGCTGGGTCACAACAGGTATTTTGGAACTGGGCATGTTTCTGACAGGGTGTTGGATTTCAACAAATTATTGTCTGTCCTGATGCATTCCTGGACTAACTTTTGGGTGGGGGTTTCACCTATTTACATGTATTTATGTGTGCATGTTGGCCAAGAGGATTTTAGGACTGAAATAGAACTTTAATTGGGAAGTGGAGCTTGTGTGTTGTAGAAATGCAGGTAGTTCAGAAGAACTGGAAGAGCTCACATGATAATAATGGGATGAAGTCTGTCAACGCAGAGAGAGCAAGTGAATAAGCTGAGGTGAGGTGGGTCAGTGTTTGCTGTGAGTAAGTTTCAGCTCCACTTCATAGCTATAGCTGAGCAAGGAGAGAGCAGCAGTCTAATAAGATAATACGAGGTGATGGTTCAGAAACTCCAGTAGCAGGAGTTTTTGGAATAACAGAGTGTCATTATACTGAATAATACACCTTCTGTCCAGTGCTTTAGAATTTGATCAGTTCTGTCTTTCCAGCACTTTCTGATACCAGGTGTATTGCCTGTCTGTAAATTACACTTGTGTGGTTTTAAGCACCTGTAAGCAAACATTTCATCATTTGCTAATTTTGGTTCTAAAAATTTCTGTTCAGTCACACCACAGTAGGACAGATCTCCATAACTAATCTGCTACAGCTTTTTGTAAATTCCAAGGGAATCGGTGCTGCTGCTTCTTGGATCCAAGTTCTGAAGGAAATGAAGAATGGATTAAAACTCCTGCTTTCATTTCAGTCATGACCTCTAAACACTTTTTCCTTTAATGTAAGTGAAGTTACCATTACACTTACTTCACGGTACTAGTCAGATCCACACTTCTGCAATCAGTTTCCCCACAGACTTAGTTTTCACTTTTTAAGTTCAGGAGTGTTTCCCATGTTTCTGTTTCTCTCTCTGGTCAGGTCTCTAGGTTCGGGTAGGGTTTTTTGTGGTTAACTGGAGTAATAAAAGCCGTTGGTGAACAATGTTAGTATCTTGACTGGTCGCTAATTTCATAAGCAGAAGTACTGCATTCCATCAGCTGTGATACTCTCAATAGACAACGATCATTTTAACTACAGGTAAACCAGAGTTATATGTGTGGCACCTAAGCTGACTTAAAAATTTGCTTGATACCAAGCGCACAGGAGTATGTTAAAGGGAGTATATGAAAATCCCTATGTGAAAATCCACCAAGAGGGAAGACTGGAAAATTTCAGACCCTTTTCCAACTCTTTTTCCTGAAGAGCTGGGCTCATGGCTTGTATTTGAACCTGCAATTGTTGCGCATCTGGTTAGAGACACCATCTACAAGCGACTTGTGCTGTCGCACTGCAGCTGAACACATGGACTGGTGCCAGCAGGGACAGCTGAGGCTGGAGTATTACACATGAAGCCAATGAACCTGTCGGTAAAGTCTTCCTCTTCCAAGTACAGGCTTTGAAAATGGAGGGTGAATCCATGTCACCTATGTCCCAATTCCTCAGCAACATTGATCTCCCTTCTTAAAACTTCTAAGGTCTGCTCTCAGGGGAAGGGGGATGTTAATGTTAACCAGCACTTCCTGTCTTTGAACCCTCCAGACTCCGAGGCACTTTCCTGAATTCAGAAGTTCATCCCAAACCTCCCATTTACAACAATCTTAGAGTGTGAACCTGAATTTCCCGTTACTCATAATCACCCAGCAACACTTCATGCAGCTACAGGCTTTTGCTGATGGAGCAATTATGCAAATCCCGCAGTGAACAGCCAGGACTAGCAGTTTGCAGGCTGGCCAAAACGGCATTCACCCCTCCTCCCCAGTGACTAAAGGAGAAACAATATTGCCCATGAACTACTCCCCTTCCCATATACACGCAATGTATATTTACATCCAATCACCCATCAAAATGGCAAAGGAAGCACAGGTTTGTCATTCTAACACATAGTCCTTTCTCCTCTCCCCTGCCCCTTGTCCTTCCCTGTCCCTCAGCACAGTGCCAGCACAACCCTTTAATGACCTGTTTAACGTCTCGTTCAGGGAGCGCAGGGAAATGCTGGCTTTAGCCATCTTCCTGAAAAGCACGAAGAGAAGAAATGAAAGCTGGAGTGGGCTTGATTCTTTCTCCCGAAGCAGGCAGCAACAACAAGGACAGGGGATCTGACTCCTGCAGGAGGTTGTTTGTACCAAGGCTTTTTATAGACTGTATATCCAAATATAGGTCATAGATGCACAGAGACATGCTCATAAACGTATCACATACTGAACTAAGCATCCGGACCACTTCCTCTGACCCACTGGTCCTGTCTGTCTTCATACATAAATGAATTCTGAAATGAGGGCTACCTACACTATTTAGCTTTTTTTGCTGTGTTTTGGCTTCATTTTGCTGTAGCACCCACCCACAGTTCATGTCTTGGGCCAAATTCTCCTGCTGTTAAAGTCTGCACAAACAGATTGCCCTTTTTTCTTGTTTTTTGAAAGCTATGATGGTAAAATAAGATCTGGATGAGAGTGAGTTGTGTTTGGTTGCAGGGAGCTGCTTTGAGCAAAACCAAGATGGTTGGAAGCTCTTCCATACAGGAAGGACAGCCAGCACAAGTGGGTAATGATTTTTCAGGAGCAAAAAAAGAGCTGGAAATTTTTCCATCCAGAAAACCAAAAAAAGCAGATAGATAACATGCATCTGGTAACAGCACATCTGGTGAAACAAGACAGCCCAAAGCCCACAGCAGTGAAGCAGGTCTTTAGCCAGTACCAGGCATTCCACTTTGAGAAAGGTTAAGGACAGCCCAAGGAAGAAAAAAGCACAACTTTTTTTTAGTTATTTGCCCATTCCATGGGAAATCCAGCATGAACTGAACATGTGAAAAGCTGCCGTGTTCCTACTTAGTACATTCTCCCCACCTGCATCTTGCAAATCAAGAGGCATTTCTAACACGCCAAGTTCTGCTTGTTGTGTTTCTAAAGCTTTGGGAAGACAGTGGAAGTACTCAGGTAAGGGGGAGCCATGCCCTTGGTCTTTCATGTTGCCCCTGTGATGGGGTATACGACACACTTCTTGACACAATTGTGTGTAAGTCTGGCAATATTACAGTGAGTATAAGCACAAGAGAGCAATGAGAGAGAAAGCATTTATTAAGACAAGTGTAATAGTTATTCTTCCCTGGGATAGACAATTAAATGCATAAGACAGCTGACCCCATAAACAGATGTTAACATTTCCCCTGCTCCTTTGCTTACTGCAGTGTGAAAAAAAAAAAACAACTGGCAATGACAGTTAAACTAAATAGATTACTCATTAGTTGATGCTTCTCTAGTCTTATACACAGCTGCTGACCAATGAAAAATGTATTTCCACTTAAGCCATGACACAGTTTAGCAGGGGAGAGTAATGTAAAGCATTGCAATAGTTCAAGGTGCAAGTGGTTCAGTCAGTGGCATCTTTATTACTGCTCAGCATCATTCAGCATTGTGGGCATCCCCATTAGTGTGAATTTCTTCCTCCAACCTTAATTATGTCAGCTTAGTCATGAACTAGCATTACCTCTAAATATACTGAAACCTGTTTTACCTAAATTCAAGAAGAAAACTGCCAACCCTGTAAAAAACAGCTGCAGTGAATACCAACAGTTGCTGTAAAACATTGTGTGAAGCCAGTTACGTAACGAGTACTTGTGTGAGTACACAGCAAATCCCTTCCCCTTCTGAAGGATGTGGCAGGTTTTACTGTTCAGTTCACTGTCAGAACGTGTAACTGGACTCCTTTCAAACACTCTTGAGAAGTGGCTTTGGCCCTGAAATGTCTTTAAACATCTCAGTGTCTAGTGTTCTGGCAATGGATACATAGATACAGAACTACTCTGATCAGCAACTAATACCCTTTTGGACCCTTTGATCTCTGCACAAGTGATCCAGTTCACCTTCTCTCCATGCTCAATGGTTACCTTTGGTAAAACTCTAGTATGTTCATTTGAAGTCACTTTGTTGAGCTTCCCATCTTTTCTGGTGGAAGCAGGTGCATGGGCCTTCCTCCTCTGCAGCGATTTTGCCGGACTTTTCAGCTGCTTTCCAATGTCACTGTTGACATCCCAAAGCAAGACTTTCCCATCATTTCCTCCAGTCAGCAACCAGTATGCTCCTGGCATAAAGAGGACCTGCGATACTCCCAAGCTGTGACCTTGAAACTCCAGCTCACATTCAAACTTGACACCAGTGACTCTAAATATTCTGACTTTACCGTCTTGAGCTCCGCAGCCAAAGAGGTTGCCACAGGATGCAACAGACAGGGAATGTGCAAGCGGCGGGTTGAAGAACTGGCCAGCTGACTGTGGACTTTTCTCCTGTGCTTCACACTCCTGCAGGTTTGTGGTCCACAAGGGGCGAGCTTTCTGCAGGTTCCACAGCATAACCTTGGAAAAAAAAAGTATGAATCAGTAATTTATCCATTTTACATAAGATCAGATCTTTCACTAACTGTAAAACTAAACCACCAGGCTTCATGCTGGATCACCTCTCCTGTGGAGACAGGCTGAGAGAGGAGGGCTTGTTCAGCCTGGATAAGAGTCTTAGAGAAGCTCCCAGTGCCTCAAGGGGCTGACAAGAAATCTGGACAAACTTTTGACACAGGAATGTGGTAACAGGACAAGGGGGAATAGCTTTGAGCCAACAGAGAGGAGATTTAGACTTGACATTAGGCAGAAATTTTTCCCTGTGAGGGTGGTGAGGCCCTGGCACAGGTTGCCCAGAGAAGCTGTTGCTGCCCCATCCCTGGCAGTGTTCATGGTCATGTTGGACAGGGCTTGGAGCAACCTGGTCTAGTGGAAGTTGTCAGGGGGCTGGAACTGGATGATCTTTAAGGTCCTTTCCAACCCAAACCAGTCTGTGATTCTTGCTTTAGCAGAGCAAAGACCATGCACGAGTGTAAGGGATGAAAGATGTGTTGTGAGGAGTGGGTGAACTTTACCTGATAAATCTGGCTGATCTTGACAGCATGCTTTCCAAACCCTCATACCGCCCTACTCAGCAGGGTCAATGACTCAGACCACAGAATGGATGAAAGAGCTGTTCTAAATGTTTTTGCATTCATCTCAGCAGTAGCAATCATAATATATTCCCTATCAATTATTTAAAAGGAGAGATGCAGAAACGCTAGCAGTTAAGAAAGATCTGAATTTTAGTTTTCCCTTTGCCACCTACTTGTCCTAAAATAATCACTTCCGCGAATGCGCTTGATAAATGGTACAGCCAAAGGCAAACAGTAGTTCAGGCCTGCATTTTTAAACAGACATCTTTGGGTTGTTGTTTTTTTTTATATTCAATGAATAGATCTGGTTTGTGCTATGCCCATATTGAGGTAGGGCATTCTTTTCCTGATGAGAGGGGAGGGGGTTGTGCTTTAGACTTGCTTTTAAAATCCCAACCCCCTCCAAGTCCCTCATGGAACAACTGTGCCTCCAAACGAATCCTGTGTCTCACTGAGCATTTCAGTGACTACGGATTTATACTGTGCCAGTTAAAAATAATTCTCTCAATGCTAAGATCTGAATTGATTATGAGCAGTTTCAAGGTCAACAGATATGAAAGCACAAGTCAGTCTAACGAAGTACTGGTGTGCTGTTTTATTTTTTTTAATCAAAACTTTGTTATTAATAAAAATATTCGTCCACTAGTAAACTCCAGGAGAAAGTACAGGAGTCTTTAAATTTGGGCCATAAAAGAGTTACACACTGCTTCTGTGTTTCTGGAATCCAAATCACACCTAAGACATTCAAAATACGTTGGTTCCCGGCACTTTTCTGATTTAGTTGAGTGCTGTTGCCACTACATTAAAACTATTTTGATCTGATGAATGGCAAAACTTCCCATAATGACTGTGTGTAGCACAGTAAAGCAGAGAGGCTGGGTCCTAATGTTTAAGGCAAATAATCCCATTTTCATAGCAGATAGCACTGCGCTAACAAGTTTTCTGCAAATTAAGTATTTTCTGTCCTCACAGCATTGTTCCTGCTTCCAAGGAACTTCTGGAAAAAACAAAACCTTCATGCAAAATGGTGTGCAAAGGACAAATTTCCTCTTAATGAGGATAGAGATGCATAAAAGGTAAAGAATATTTAATGCTTCCAAGAGGTTAATCAGAACAAAGGATAAGTTATAAAAATGACTTGTCCTGACATGATACATACCACTTGGACAGATATTTATCTACCTGTGTTCTTGCTAGCTTTCTGTATGCTTCAAGCATTTTGCCTTTTCCTAATGATCATCTGCCTTTCATCTGCAGCCATAACTGATTGCTAGGGACAGCTTCTGATTTTGGTCAGTCCAACAGGGAGCTAATGTGGCATGAGCATGCTTTGGACCATATTCTGATTTTCCTCACCCCCTGCTCACTTTTAGATTGTAAATATTAAAGAAGATAAAAAACAGAGAGAAGAACTCCTGAGTAGAAAATGGCACAAACAATCTCAACACTTAGTTTCTCCACGAAAACTATGTTAGCATGTTTACGGGACTTTCTGGTGACTGCAGGCTACATACTCTCACTCTGGGCGAAAGTCTGTTGGTGCCTCACTGCACATGTGAATAGTTACCATTTTGCTTCTCTAATAACCATCTACTTGTATGCAAATCACCTGCATGTCCAGTCCACAGGAAACAAGGCTTTGAGGCCTCTGAGGTCGAAAGGCAACAGAGGAACAGATGTTTGAGTGTCTCAAGGTCCGGGTGACTTTCTTGTTTTCCAAGTCCATAACTTTTATTGCCCCTGAGTCATCTGCTGCAGCCAAGAAACTGTCAGTCTCATTTACTGAGAGGCAGTTGATCTCCTCCTCATTCACATGGAAGCGTTCAACGGGCTCCTTGAGGGATCGGACATCCAGCAAACTGATAGTTTCTCCATGGGAAGTGTACAGCCTGGTGGGACAGCAGGGAGAGAACACCACGGAGGTCACGTCATCTACCTCTGGTAGCTGGAGCTGTCCTGCTGGAGTGCCTCCCCCATCCCAGAGCGTTAGCTCGCCTCTCTCTGCGCCTGAAGCCACCAGACCTTCCGAGTTTACGTTCAAGCACAATATAGAAGATGAATGCCCACCAATCCATTTGACTGCCATGTTTCAGGGACACCTCTGAAACAAGAAACATACAAAAAACCCTGAATTCAGATGGTGTTGGCCTCACTACAGGAGAAAGTTTATCAAAGCAACAAGATCATCCCATGGACTATAATGTAAACTACTTGAAACTCTAGTGTCCAATTAAAACAGGCATCTTTACGACCAGTACCCAAGTGTTGCTTAAACAGCACCAACATCAGCAATACCAGCTTGGAATGATGGTGGTGCTTGCACACGTACCTGTGCAGTACAGGGAGCAGATCTTCTCTGACGTGGCTGCCTACGTGAAAGCCGCTTCCTCAGCACACAGGGACATAGCACACTTAACAAAACAGGCAGCACAGGTCCTAATGGGAGGTACTGGAAAGGAGCATGGGGAAGACCGAAAACTGGTAAAGTCAGTCTGCAGAGGAGTCACATTGCTCCAGCCTGTGTGAGAGCACATGCAAACATCTGTCTTTCACCCAGCTGTGGAGGTGCTGGGTAGTCGGTACCTAACATCGGTTTGTAAAGCAGCCTCACAATACCTGAAGAAAGAAACCCCTACTGGTGTGAGTGGGATAAAGTAGCTGCCTTAATTACAGTTTAAAGCATACATTTGCGTGAATATATTTTAAATCGTGTACTCTGTGTTCCCAAAGTAAAGGTAATTTTCTTGTGA